AAAACAATACCAAGCTCCTCTGAATAAATCTTGCCAAGAAAACCTTATGCTGAGGTTACCAGAAGTAGAAGTCAACTTGAAAGCAGTTGAAGTGTTTTTAAAGACATTAAGTACCTTTAGCCGTTCTCAGTTGGTTACTGCTTATAAGTAGATTTGTGTAACTTCTTTTTTCACCTAGCATGCTCTTTACATGTAGTGGCTTACCATGCCACTGTAGTCCTTCCCTTTTCAAGTTTATAGGGCTATAAAGAAAAACAGCTCTCATGTCCAATTAATGCCTTGTAGAGGTGAGGGAAGAAACAACAGTGATGCAAATGCCTTTAAGGGGGTGAAAGGCACGACAAAAAGCTATAATTACAACAAGGATATTTCCTTTGAATCAGTATACTCTGTTTTTTCCTTCTTTCTCTTTGATGTGCTGTCTTCTTGTGAAAAAGCATTTCTTTTTCTCTTACACATAAGTGGTTCTCATCTGGGATGCTGCAGTGCTGTTTTATGTTTTGGAAAAACAAGCCCATGTTACCAATACAAAGACTGCTTAGTGATGCATTATGTAGTCTTTATACTGTATTCAAGCTCTGTCAGTGAACTTTGGATATAGTCATGGCATTACAATCTAATTTGCAAGACCAAACAGTGTTGGGGAAGAAACAGTGTGTCATCTGAAGTGAACGAAAGCCAAAGCAAACAAACAAAAAAAGATGCTGCTGTTTGATGCTAGTTGTTCAGATGTTACTAAAGTTGCTGCTTGATAAATTACAAAGTTTTTTGTCTTGCTATAAATTTGGAAATTTATTATCAAATTTTCATAACCTCATTATGTTTTTGAGAATAACTTTGTCCTAATTCAGCATCCATTGCAAAAGGAAATATTGAATGCATCTTAACTTTTGGAGCATTCCAAGAATAATTTATCATGCTATTTGATAGGTACAACTAGAAAAGATGTTCAAATAGGTTTGGTTTCATATTTTCCTAATGAACTCTCAGAACAAAAATAAGCTGTTGTCAAGTAGGAAAAAAACATCTTAGAAAGCAATCTTATTTACAAGTTATCCCCGCCCCACTTTTATATATAGATTTTGTGACCAAGAAGAAATCTTTATTTGCTGATTTTTAAATAACAGCCAGTTACCTGATAGTATGAAAAGGGTTAATTGACCAAACAGAGGTACCTGTAGTGGTACAAATACTGTCGTAAGTGCACTTTTCCCTCTCTCCTGATGTCTTTCTTGAGCAGTTTTATCCAGACTAGAAAGAACTTATGATCCCATCCAACTTAATAAAGAATATCCCTACTTTTACACCAATACAAAACAATATATTTTGCATTCCTTGGATAGTCAGAGCAAGATTTTATGAACCCTAAGGTACTCCAAGTATATTCTGTTCTTATAAAGATTATAATCTTATTGCAAAATGTTGATAACCGCTACCTAGATTACATTGTATAGTCTGGACAAACAAATTAGTTGGACTTCTGATGTAGAGGAATCTAAATAAATTGTCTTGATACTCTTTGCAAGTCCTCCTCATAATTGACATTAGATGTTGTTTGTATGCTTTAGTGGCATAAAAGAACTGCAACTTTTAATTTCTAAACCCAAAAGTTTTTCAACAGAGAGAGATCCTAATTGCTTTGTAGTATCATAAAGTTGGAAAGGACTACATAAACTATCTAGTCCACCCCCCTGCCATGCAGAAAAAGCACATTCAAAGTACCCCTGACAGATGGCCATTATAGTTTTAATAAACCTTTTTTTTTTGTACACAACTATCCCAAAAAGTTCTTAAGAAGTTTCTTTTTTTTAATGATATTGGATATACTGGGTTAAAACCAAAATTTAGAAACAGATGCCAACTGCTGTAAATACATTTCATTCCAAAGGAAGGAGCAAACAGTAGTTCTGTGCTTTTGTTCTGTTGGTTATGCAGCTGACCTTTCCAGAAAAAAAGAACACTTCTGTGTTGAATAGACCACATAATAGCAAGTTTAAGTTCTGAATTCAACTGTGGATTAGAACAAAAAATGTGTATCTATATATCCCAGTGGGCTTTCATTTTATTCTGCTTTAGATGAAACCTGATGTGACACAGAAAGTGCTAGATGCTGTGAAATAATCCCCGGGTTTCAGACCAGCCAGACAATAAACAACTCTATAATATTCAGTGCTGCAGCTTCTGGTAGAGCCCATCTGTTTCAAAATAACCCTAATTCTGCTTACTATGCAGAATGCTTTGTTGACTGGGGCTTGTCCTACTTTTCTTTAATGTGTTGCTTGTGAGCCTCTGGTGCCATCTTCTGGAATACATGAAATGGGAGTTCCTGTTGCTCATTTCTGCTCTGAATCCTAGTTGCTTCGGAGCAATGGAAATCAGCCTTTCATGCAAGTAGTAGTGTATGCTATCTTAGAAGCCATGCTTCTTTCTCTATTCTGGATCAAGATAAATTTTATCGTATAAAACTTCTGACATAAACGTCACATTTTACAAAGGAAATTCGTGTTTTTAGAAGCTACTTTGGTGTTCCAGAGTGTGTTCCATTGAAAAGAAAAATTTCTCCCTGGTTCCTTCACATATTCAGGAAAGTTTCAGAATACTTACTGCAAGTAACACATTTTTACGATGGGCATTCATTAAAGATTTCCCCTGAGCCATTTGTATTTATCACAAGGTACTGAAACTGCACATGTGTAATGATATAAGTCTCTATAGGTTACAACAATTTACAACTCAAAACTGGTAACAGTCTTGATTTTACAGGTGCTGAAGTGGTGTGAGGTTGATAATGGACCCAGTGGAATACAGAGCAATCATCGAATTTCTTTACTTACTTACTTATTTACTTATTTATTTACCACATTTGTATACCACCTTTCTCAGCCAGAAGTGACTCTGGAAGGCCGCACAAAGGAGACATTCAATGAGATGAAAGAGGTTTATGGTGATGACTCCCCATCATATGATGTGGTCAAAGAACTAGCATCGTCAATTCAAATGTGACCCGACTTTGGTGCAAACAGCTCCAATTCCAGGGCGACCCCACTCTGCTATTGATGAACACACCATCCAGCAAGTGGAGGTCACCATTTCGGAAAATTGCCTTGCAACCTTTCACCACCTACGGCAAAATGTCAAAATTACTGTTGGGATCCATGGAAAAAATCATCCAAGACCATCTTCACATGCATAAGGTATCTGCTCACTGGATTCCTCAGCTGCTCACAACTTTTCAGGAGCAGGAACAAGTCAAACGCTCTCAGGCTCTATTGACAATGTGCCATGCAAACCAGGAGGACTTTTTCAACAGATTGATCACACAGGATGAAAGCTGGATCCATCACTATGATCCCGAGACTAAAGTCCAGTTGATGCAATGGAAGCATCATGACTCACCACCTCCAAAGAAGGCGTGTGCCCAACTCTTGGCAGGCAAGGTCATTCTCACAGTATTTTGGGACCATCACGGAGTAGTATTGCTGGATTTCCTAGCAAAGGGTAGAGTGATTGCTGGGGCATACTATGCTTCACTGCTGCAGAAATTGTGGGAGGCCATCAAAACCAAGAGACGTGGCATGCTCACCAAGGATGTCCTCCTTCAGCAAGACAATATACCAGTTCACAGACTACTTTGAAGTGAAAGAAACCCCGGACAGGCCCCTTACATGTAGTTAAAACAAAGTCAGTATGGACAGCCTGACTGGGAAGGCTTCTCTTTCTTTACTGGTATGGTTCCAAAGGAAGAAATGAGTTCAGATTGGGCCACTGCAGTATCTTAGGCCTCTGATTAACGAAACCTAAAAAGTGGAACCTAAAGGGGTTTGAGCACACAGCTATAATTGCATCTCTCTTATACTTCACTTACATGCTACCAGCATTGATAGCTGGAAGTTTTCTTCAAAAAATTTACTAGTTCAATTTCCACAGCCAATGTTCCATTTGAAAAACAGCTTGGCTTCAGCTTTTGAAGCATTAGAATTTAGTCACTTTTGCATTTGTCTCTTGTATGTGGATGAACCTACCAAAGGCCTGGATGGTTAAGTGTATTGCTTTCGGCAGTGGCTGCCTGGATATTTCTGAGAAGCTCTCAAGCAGCACATAAAACCTCCCTTCGTTGTTTCGTTCCCAGAATCGACTATTCAGGAAGTCATTGCTCCTGGAGATGGAGGCTTCATTTAGCAAAATATCTGTCTGTTGCTAATCTCTAGAAATTTACTCTCTCTTATATCAGTCTAAACAGTGGGCCATCTTATAATAGTGAGATCAAATGTATGAAATCTAAGAAGACACCTCCACCTCAAATTTTCCCCAGTTGACAGTGCAAAGTTTAACCATTGGAGTCATTCTTTGCTCTGCACAGCCTCTATTGATGACAGTTGAAAAACCCGCATCTCTTTTGTGCACTGTTGATACTGCTGCTCAGAGTGCTGTTATTGCATAATGCTTCTTGTGATGCCTCATTGCAGTTTGTATCTGTTAACAATTGCTGTTTGTCCCTTTTTCCAAAATAATAATCGAACACAGGCAGTTTTAATTTCTAGGCAAGCCCAGATGACCACAAAAACAGCTCCATGTGTTCCAGTGGAAATTTCTTATAATAATAGAAGAAATTACTTCTAAGGGAAAGAACTTAGATAGGACATCCTCTCAATCCACAAGGGAGAAGATTTAGCAATTATCTCTTCCACTGGAGATAACAAAGGAATATTGATTGAAATTCAAAGTATAACACGTGTGTTGTGTAGTTTGTATGGATGTATACTTGCAGTCAGGAGATGGAAGCTTAAAGTCAATACAGATAAGTCCCAACAGAATTTAATAAATGGGGTTTACATACAAGTTCATTTACTTATGGAATCAATTGCTGAATGATATTTTGTACTTGGGCTTAATAGTTGGATTTGGCCTGTGACAACATTTTTTATCATTAGACTGAGTTTGTATCAGTGGCAAAAGTGGTTTATTGCAATTACGGTGGTTTGTATTTGTTTTCATTGCAGGCAATAGTGCAAGACATTACCATAATGAGAGGAGACCCTATGGCTTCTGGCTTCCACCTGAAGAACCATCACATGAAGAACTTAGAAGGCGACGACTTGAAAGGTTTGAGAGGTGGTAAAATTCTCAAATCTCATCACACATATATAAAAGAGCTCTTGAAAACTATCAAAACATGGAGTTATCTTTTTCTTTTAAGGAATCTCTTTTAAGAAAAGAATGTTTCCTATACGTTGTCTTCCAAGTTGTGAAGAAAAGGTACTCCTGCTGGATATATGAACTAAAAGTTAAGACTAATCTTGGTTCCTGCAAATTACTGTATTATTCATCTTAAAAGATTTCAGTCTGCCACAGCCGTTCGGCACTTTTCTGTGCATTTCCTATATATTTCCAGAATTTCATGAGAATTTGATTATTGAATTTTTATACTTTGATAAAACAAATTGTGATAATGTAGTTTGTTATCCATGATTTCTTTCCTCATTATTGAGTCTTAACCACTGCCTGATTTGATATAGTTGGAAAGTAGAGCCATTTGCTATGCGGCAGTGTTTATTGTGTATACAAATCTAACAGTCAAAGAGATTATAAAATATTATTTTCATTCTGATTTGAGGTGGGGAATGGCTGTTTTATCTTTTCAAAGGTCATTTTCAGAAACCAGTTAGTGCTTCATTGGGCATTTCTAGACCACCTCTGATAATCATGTACTAAAATGTTTTAAGTATATTCCACTTGAATATAAACATACCCTTTTAATCATCATCCCTATTTTTTCTTGTCCTGGACATAACCCACTGGAAATATTTCCTGTGTAAAACCAATTGAAATCAAAATGAGATGATCAGGAGCATTACTTCATCACGATCCATTAACCTTGGTGGCAGAAGTGGTAGTAGAGTTTTTGTTGTAGCCTAACATTAATGTGTATATTTGCACTCTTTCCTCGTATTGCAGAGAAGACAGAAGACTCTAGTTATCAGTAATGCCTTCTGTGCATACTTAGGCATTTATGTCTCCAAACTTTTTTGGCGAAACCAAAGTCAATAGTTCCTTTATTTGATTTAGAAAGAATTCTAAATATGGTATTGTGCTTCAAAATAGCTTTTATTTGGCTTACTCTTCCCTTCTTTAGAACCACATACCTTTGGCTTCCAAGATTACGCTAGATGTCCATAGATTCTAAAGGTCGCTTGTGGCTTTGTCAGCAGTGTCCTTGGACTTAGTCCTATGCTTGTGATGCATCTTTTAGGAAATAATTTACTGTTGTTGTATAAGTATGCTAATATAAAAGTATTGGCATTGTTCTTTTTATACACATAATATCTGAACTTTGTATTTTTATAACATAATGTAATCTGAGTAGAAGAAAGTTCTACTGCTTTGGATCCTTTCAATGCAATTTGAAGCAGAGTTGTATTATGTCACATGGTCAACTACTGGAAATGTATGTTAATTTGTTGGAATCTACACATCTACCTCCCCAGGGAATTTTGTCCAGGAAGTATGTATCTATAATTATATTTCTCAATATATACATATGGATATAGATATGTATCATTATCAGGAAACAGTTGGATGTAAATGCAGTAGAAGTAGCACTGAAATAAAATGTTTCTCTTTATTTCATCAGCAGATCTGCAAGTAAACTATCAAACATTCAACATGCATGGGGTATTTTTGGCCAGGCTTCAGTTCTGCATTTTGTAATTTCCTTTCCCAATTTTATCCTAAGAGGAAGAAAATACAAAATGGGTTTGGCCTTTCCAAGTACGGAGAGCTCTTAACCTTGAATGTAATTTCAGGTCAGTGACAGTGCCTTTGAAGTTCTTTGTCCTCTGCCAGATTTTGCAGGCCTCTTTCCTAAGGAAATGCTGGTTTCTGTCCATATTTTAACTCAGTGCAACACTGGCTTTGGACTACATTCAATACAGCATCTGCGATGTTTTTGTACCTTGATTATTATTGTTGTAAAGAAACAGCAGATCATGTTGTTAGGTTTTTTTACATTTCTGTCCTTAAGAAAATAAATCACTGTTCTAATCTAAATCTTGCTTCTTTGGACTAATTTTGATCTGATATCAAATGTGTATATTCTTCTGTCTAATGTGCAATGAACCTGCCTAGTCTAAAATGTCTGCATAACAGCTAAAGAAGGGGTTCTCAAACTTTTTCAGCTGGGGAGCACTTTTTGAAGCAAAAGTTTCTTGTGGAACCCCCAAAAATGTTTATATATTATATTATATATTATACATAATTTATATAAGGCATGGGCTAGGGCAGTGGCAGATGGATGGAGAGTGTTTGTGTGAATTAATTCACACAATGCCAAAAAAGAAAAGAAAGAACAATACAATATTTAAAATGAAGAGGAATGTTAACAACATAAACGTAACAGTATTTCAGTGGAAGACCCCCAGAGCCATCCAGTCCAACCCTCTTCTGCCATGTAGCAAAAACACAATCAAAGCACCCCCAACAAATGGCCACCCAGCCTTTGTAATAATAATAATAATAATAATAGCAGAAACCCCAGAGGCCATCCAGTCGAACCCCCCTCTGCCATGCAGGAAAAGCACAATCAAAGCACCTGCTGAGCAATGGGAGGGAAATAGGTTTTTGGAAGCAAAGAAAGTGGGGAGGAGAGTCTGGACAGTGAGAAAAAGAGCCTGGGCAGCAAGGGAGGCAGGAGAAAAGGGGCGAAAATGTGCCATGGAATATTGTTGTTAATTTAAAGTGGAAGATAGCATTTCAGTGACAGCCCAAGCCCTGGCTGTGGAAGTTACCATAGTAACACTGCATTTGTCATGACAGCACAGCAAATTGGCATATAAAGCCAGAATAAATTGTCAAAGCATGAGTAAGCTAGGAATGCAGAAACATCAATGCTCACTTAATTTCTCATGAAAACAAAGTATCTGATATGTAATGTTTCTTATACGACTTCCAGCCTTAGGGATTTTGTTTATGCTTTATCATCGAACATTCAGTAGGTTTATATCCTGAGGATTTAATCGCCCGCCTCCTCTTCATAGGTCTTATGATGATATCCCCCTCCCAAGATGATGTAAAGTTCTGCTGTTAACATAGTTTATGTAACCTGGATGATACTAAGCTAATGCTAAGAGATGTTTGTATGAAAGTTCGTGTTAGAGCTTAAACAGTCTCCCGTTGAAGGCCAAGAGCACACGTTCCAAGTCAGTTAAGACATATAGAAACAATACCAGCACCATTGTGTCCATTGCACAATGTGTATATTTATTTCAAAAATGTGCTTTCTAAAGTCCATAATCCCCTTCACAGAGCTAAAGAAAAGGAAATCCCTCCTAAAGAAATTCATACCACTCCTTGAACAGAAGTCAGGGCCTTTATGCATATTCATTTATTTTGTTCCTTGCTATGCAGAGTTAGGAGATGTGACATTTTAGTACCACATTTTTAAAATAAATGTTTCCAGTAGATTGAAAGGCTGCCACTTGAGATGTCTACATCTCGGGGGGGGGGGGGGGTCAAGTCGGTCTGTCTAGGAGAGGGCCAGGCATATATGGATGTGCAAACCTATTGATATGTTTTTTAGCATATTATATTTCCAATATATCATCTCCAACCTGTTCTTTAAAAAGGATTATGATAATGAGGAATGAAAGTCTTAAATACTTTGAGATTTTGAGATCCTTAAGAATTCATTTTTCTTAAAGAATTGTTTCACCATCTGGATTTCTATTAATGAAAGAATGTAAGGTGGAAATCACACTATGTGAAATAGCAAAATCATGTTTAAACATTCCAAACATAATAAACTGATTTTATTTATTTATTTATTTTTGCTTTTAAGTTAGTCCATTTTCTTTTCAGAAAGGAACTGGTAGAAAGGACATTATAAATAAATTTGGTTTAAATTGTGTTCTTTTATTTTACGTGTTGATAGTGGTTGTTTTATAATTTTTATGTGATATTGTTTTATACTCATGTACTGTTTATATATATACTGCACTGCAGTGTCTTGTAAGCCATCCGAGTCCCTTTTGGGAGATGGTAGCATGATATAAATAAAGATTATGATGATGATGATGATTAATAATATTGTCACATATAGTGATTTGATAGTTGTCTCTTAGTTTAAATTTGATTGAGATTTTTCTTACCAGTCATCAGAAACATATTTAATTCGGATGAATAACCAATGGCTGTATTCAGCCTTCCATAGATTTCAGTTGTTCCTTTCCTGCCAAACAGATGATCAGTGCAATTTGGCCCTTTTTAAAATAAATTCATCCCTAACCTCCTGTATCTGCTTTCTTTCTGAAGGATGTGATGTATTATTTATTTATTTACTGTATTTATGTACCGCTTTTCTCACCTCTAGAGGGGGACTCATAGGCAGATGAAAGATACATTTATGGCCTAACCCACTGAAAACATTTTTATATCAAATCAGTCTCTCGTGGATGTACTAACAACCTCTGGTTGAGGAAGCCTGCTTTAGGCTACTGATTCCCACCGGGATTAACACAATTTATTCCACTGAAACTAAAGTGCTTTATAATGATCAGGTCACAAGATTTACCAGTCCTACAGGACTAACAAAAAGCAAGTAACAATATTTGTTTTGCAGAAACCCAAGATAACTTTGCTTTGGGTGCAGAACTACCTGAAAAATCTAGAATTTGTTGGCTTTTCAGCACATTCTTTCCTGTAATGATACCTGACAGCTTAATTCTGAAATGCCAACTTGAGGGAATTACATCACTTAAAAATCTCCCCATTTTGTTAGAAAATTTCTAACTTTTAATTAGTTACTATTATTACATTGAAATGACTTATAAGAGAAAGAAATATGCTATGAATCTTCATCACTCATGTTTTGTTGATAATGTAAACCCTATGAAATGGTTTGATGAAACATTAAGATCTTTTTTACACACCAATTTTGGCAATGGCAAGGTAGCATTACAGAAACCCAATCCATCAAATTGTGGATTGAGAAATTATTGAGAATTAAGGAGTAGCATACCATCTCTTACACTCTTGTTGATTAGTGTGTTGCTACCATTCTGAAAAACAAAATAAATGTGTTGTAAAGAAATCTAAATGTCGATTATGAGATTCATCAGTATTGAATCAATCCAGTTCTAACTGGAATGGCATTCCAAGTCCACCACTTGCTTAGTGTAATACCAAATAATTTTAATTTTGGGCAGAGTTTTCCTCTTCCTAATGTCTGCTACGATCATAAAAATATAGGTTGTGAAACCCCTGATTGGGCTGGATAAATTGACAGAAGGAGAGTGACTTGTACAGAACTAAAAAGAAACAGAATGACTGCACAGCAATACTGCAGACTTATTCATGTGTCATCGTAAGAACCACTTCGGAAAACTTGAACTATACCCATATGAAATGGAATTGTTAATTGTGGTTGTCTTTCTTAAAGTTGTTATGGAGCAAAGACTCATGTATTACTTCTTAAATAAGACTAAAATAAGACTAAAAGCCCACTCCATCATTCTCGTCTTTTATTCTGGGTAGACTTTTGCTAAATAAGACGAAGAATAATTGTGACTCATCTAGTATTGAATATTGGCCATTATGCTCTCAGCATTCTCTGAAGATTTGATATTTTGCTGCCCATTGGAGCTACTGTTTAAACTTGACAAATACAGGGATTATTCTGTCTCGGTTTCTTGCTTATCTCATAGAGAAACTTTACCAGTAGTATAAGTAGAACTTGTCATCCACGGGCCCTTCCACACAGCCATATAACTCAGAATATCAAGGCAGAAAATCCTACAATATCTGCTTTGAATTGGATTATCTGAGTCATATATTCTATTTCAAAGCAGAAAATGTGGGATGGTATTCAGCTGTGTGGAAGGGGCCCATGAATTGCAAAAGAAGAGAAGCAAAGCATTGTGATTCCTCTGTTTCCACTCACTGTTGGAGAAAGTGGAGGTGACACTTTGAGATGGAGGAAAATTCAAACATTGTGTTGTTATTTCATCTTTTGATCCTTAAGAGATTTCTATGAGAGAATGAAAGGGAGGACCAACAGTATGGTGACAGGTGAAAAACTATTCAACACCCCACCCCACCCCGACAATAAAATGAGAACAAAGCAAGGCAACTGCACGATAAAAGTCTTGTCTAGAAAACCCAAGAGGCGAAAAGTGGGTAGCTGTGGTCCTCTTCCACTTTCAACAGTGTCAGCCTAGTCGTTGCTGACAGCTAAGGGAGTACCGGGATTCATAGGATATGGCTGCACAGAAAATGAAAAAGAATTTATATCCATAGTCCACCTGACTTAAAGCCCCTGGACAGTTATTCCATATTTTCACATAAAAACTGAAGAATTAGCACCATTTGCAACCATAGGACAACTTAGTACACTATCCTTTGTGGGTATTTTTTTTCCTTTTGGCAAATATTTAGTTTTCCTAACTGTATTTCATGCAGACCTGACATCTGCCTGTGTTTTGTCGTTGTTTTCGCTCGTCTTTGAGAGTCTCTGAGACTGGAGATGATGAGAACTGCAGCTCCGGTTTTACTGTAGTTAGCCAGAAGCTGTGCGCAGTGGCAAAAAAGTGACATGTTCCTCGCTGACCCTGACACTCAATGAAAGGTGTTGATCTGAAGTCTTCAAGGCAGCTTCCAGTTGACATGAGAGACTGTCCACCTCCCTGGTCTCCAGATCCAGTGTGCTGAAAGGAACAAACAAAGGACTTTTGGAATCTGAAGATATCTGATCCTCTATATTTAAATACATCTCCCTGAGTCCAGTAGTACTTACATAGACCCTTTCACAGAACACAGTTTTATGATGGCTGATAAATGCGGTATACAAATGGAGTAAATAAATAAATAAATAAATAAAATATTGTGCTTCCACTTATACTGCCGAATCAACATTCTGGAATTTATAGTTTGGAGGAACATTTAGAATGCTCTTCCAGAAAACTCTACTGTCTCACCAAATGATAAATTCTAGGATTCATAGGATGTTGCCATGGCATTTTAAGTGGAGGCACAGTACTATAATTGTGTAGTGCAAAAGGGCCCTTGGAATCCACCCTCCTGGGTTTTAGTGGTAGTTGTGAAACTGATGTAGAGATATTAGTGCTATTTTTCTGCCTCCTTTTCATTTCTTGGGAAATAGTTGTGGGTGCTTGATTTTGGGTTGAATCTTCAGCACTGTATTTTCTACATTACATTGCACCTCCATATAACCAAGTACTTAAGAAGGACATATTAACAGAACAGTCTTCACAATGTAATTTCTGTGGCAAATCAGGACAACTACAATTACAACTCCATATAACCAAGTACTTAAGAAGGACATATTAACAGAACAGTCTTCACAATGTAATTTCTGTGGCAAATCAGGACAGGCAAGACACATGGAGAGGTATGCCACAGAAATGAAAAGACATCCACTGAACAGAAAAAAAATGTAACAATTGCAATCCGTCTACTTTTGCCATAGTTACTAAGGAGGATGAAGTAAATGCCAACCTGTAAAATCCTTTCAATGTTATACTTGCATTTTATAAGAGGATTTTGAAAGTGTACATGTGTAACTAGTTTGTATTTTGCAGAATGTAAATATGTGAGAGAATTGTCCAGCTTGGGTCCCTTTTTGGCCGACTGAAAAGAAAGATCAGAAAACATGATTTGATAATATCAGATAAGAGGGTGTACAGCTTCATCCTTGTGGCTCCTCTAGACAGGGCAAAGTCATCAAGAATTTTTGATATTCTTATGCTTAGAATGGCAGTTCTCTGGGCTTTTTAAGGGATCCAAATGACATTTCCAGATTATTTTCTGGAAAGTCCCAGCACCAGCTACAATTTTTTATTCCTGCCTTTGAATTGGTTTATTTTTTATAGACACTGACATTAAAAAGTTTCCTGTTCTCCTCTCTTGTTTTAAAGTAACTCTTGTTCTTGAAGTAATAGTGCATCAGTGAAATTGACTTTTCCACTGTAATGCTGCAATTTCGACTTCAAATTTTAGGTCAGACTCAGCTAACCAGGAGTTTAAAAACCTTGGATGGGCCTTGGTACCGAATCCCAGAGATCACAGAAACAGCCCCCCCCCCCCAAAAAAAATGGAACAAGAAAATACAGAGCAGAAAACAACCAGGAAAACCCAAAGATTTATATTGGTAGAACTCGTCCTTGTTTTGACTAGTCTGGAAAGGTCTTATGATGACATAAATTTCCATAGTAGACCTAAACAGTTATCTTTCTTACCATTAAAAATGAGTAGCCTATCCAAAGACTTCTCCAGTTTGATGGACAAGGAGGAATGGATTGGTCTTGACTATGAACAGCAACAGCCTGAGAAGGAGCTTCACATACTGCACATCTGCTAATGTAAGGTTTTATTTCTTCATCAGAGAGGGGCATCATGGGCAAAGGAGCTGCAGTTGACAGCCAATATGACTTATCATTTCGACTTGCATAGTAGCAGACTTGGTTGATATTGCAGTAGGCAAAAGGCATGGTACTAAACACAGGAAGACAAGATCCTGCCAAACCTAGAACAAAGGAAAATCCATCAGGCTTTGACAATTACAACTCCATATAACCAAGTACTTAAGAAGAGTGGCAAGCTAGCCTTGAATCTTACCTAAAGTTTACACTACCGGGAAAATATGCTGATAAGAGAGTTCTACAAATACCATGGATTGCCAAAGCCTCTCAAGCTTTGAACGCTCACTAGAAGCCCAAATGCCTAAATGTGTTTTGAAAACATCATGAGACAACAAGGCTCAGTAGAAAACACAATGCTTGGTAATATGGAAAGCAGTAACAAAGGAAGAAGACTACATTACAGATTGATTGGTTTGGTAAAAGAAATCTCAGTACTGAATCTTGGAGTCTTAAGTATGTATGCTGAAGACTAAAGCTCTTGCAGATGTGTCATTCATAGAACTACCCTAATTCAAAGCTAACTTGATAGTAAATAACAACAAGAAGAAAATAGGTCAGTGGTAGAGTACACGTGAAACAACTGCAATAAATGTGTGAAAGGGTGCCACAAAGACTTGAGCACCTTGGAAAAATGTGATTTCTACATCTAGATGCTGTTCCCCTCCAGCATCTATCTCGCAAGAGAAGAAATAATGAACCAGGAGACTGAAGAGTAGAGCCTGCTAGGAAATGAGGAGTGAAAACAGTCTCTATCCACACTTTTCGACATCTACATTTGATATGTGTCTGTGGATAACCACTTTTATGTAACTAAATGGATGCCCAGTAGAAACACCACCCACAACAATATACAATCATGTTTTAGCTACCACTCTAAGTATTCAAATGTCTGGAACTCACCATACATTACAAGGTGACTTTTCAATGTGAATTGGTGTGTACTTTGCTCTATGCAAAAGTATGCAGCAAAAGTGCAGAAAATCATTGTATCTGTGTTCTTGGAAAACAGTGAAGTGCATTACTCACCAAGATCTTGATTATGGGCCTTCTCCTGCCCTTCAAAGTACAACAGGCTGTATCCAGTCCATAGTCTTGACATTCCCTCCGGGCAAAGTGGTACTACATCTGACTGACTATGAAGAACAATTAGGAATCCAGTAGCAATTCTTGTTTCAGGTGCTGGGGGTCCTGGCATTCCAGTTGGGCCTGGAAGACCTTATAGAATGGAGAAAATGTGAGCCAGAAATATCACTTGTAAAAGTATGTCTTCATCTGTTTTGCTTTGGGTTCTGCTGTTTTAAAATGGATTTTACTATTGAATTAACGGTTCTAAGTGACACAGCTTCAATTCAGACAGAAAAAAAATGTATTCATTTGTCCATCACAATCAATGAGATTGCAGGACACCCTCTCAAACAACTTTGGAATTGAGATCAAAACTCTAAACCTATTAGGTTCATATTTGACATTATGTTTTAGGGACACAAAGGCCATAATGTTTGTTTTTTTAACCAAAGCTGTATAACATGCATGCAATGATAAGCAAGCCACTTATTTTCCTAGTATTACATCAAATTGCATATATCAGAATACTTACCCCTCAGCCCAATGTATCCCTTTTCTCCTATGTCACCCTGATCACCATAAGGTCCTGGAGGCCCAGGCAAGCCACTCTGACCAGGCTGACCTATAAAGCCTTCTTCTCCTTTCATTCCTAAAACACAATGTATTTACTTGTACATGTAACTATGGTTCAATGCTATGCATAACTATTAGCAACTTTATTAATGCATCATAAATCTCATATTAAACAGGTAACAGATGCCTCCCATTATGTAATAGCTGTTTCTATTTTAAAATGATTCAAAAGAGTTGTCTCATTTTAAAAATGATACTGACTTTTTAAATGTTTCAGAATTTTCAGCAATTTTATGTGGCAATTTGATTTAAATTCAGAAATACTGTATCTAATTGGGGTGGGATGTAGAATAGGAATAGTGGTTCTGTACTGATCACGGTTCTAAAGAAAACAAGAAACACTATATTTTTGTGTGTGTAAGATTGTGCTGCACAGATATGACACCCACAGTAGTGAGTGAAAATCTCCAAAATGAAGAAGTGACATCAAATTAAATTGTTTGAATGACTGAAATTTAAGAAAAAGTTTAAAAAATATTGCAACAAAAATCTTAATGCCTATTTAACACCCCCCCCCCCCATGTATACACAGAGAGAGAGGAAGTAACAAAAATAACTGCATATAACTAAAACTTGTTTTGTAGCCCAGTCTTTTGATTTCTTGCAACATTTTCTATTGTCTGTCTTGAGCACTGGTATCATCTTACGTTCTCGTACATCCTACTGATATCTGGTCTAAATTATATTTCTATTACAAATAGTTAAGCAACCTTTACATAAAGTAGTTATTCAGATATGGAATATGAAAAATCCACAAAAACCATCCTGTGTTCCAAAGTGAAATGTTTCCAAGCTCATAGCTACACTGAAGTGTGTAGAAAAAAGCAATACTAGCCATAAGTTGACTTCCTTTGGTGTCTTCATGATAAAATGTTGTCTCCTTTATATGGATGATGAGAGACAGGAAAGAACATTTTAATACAGGGTTTTGTAAGATGATTTGTAAGTATCTACTCTCATGGAAGGAGGGTGGTTATCTCAGTGTGTGACACAATCTGAATCCTATTGGAATTATGTAGACTTTATAAAATGGATGTAGTAAAACAGTAGTTTTCAACCTGTGGGTCCCACAGATGTTTTGGCCTACAACTCCCAGCAATCCCAGCCAGTTTACCAGCTTTTAGAATTTCTGGAAACTGAAGACCAAAATATCTGAGGACCCACAGGTTGAGAACCACTCTGCTAAAAAGTATCTTAAACTTTGTGGTAACACTATGTTGTCCTTCTGCATGAAATCCATAGTCACAAAATACCTGGTGGGCCAGGGAAACCTGTTGGGCCTCTTACGCCCATGGGGCCAGGCGATCCTCTTGGGCCTAATACTCCAGGAGGCCCTGGAATCCTGGGACATGAAGAATAATCCACTTTCCCATCTTCGCCTGGATCACCTGAAATGTGCAACATTATTATAATGAGAAAAATAATAAAATCCCACTCACCAAAGCCAGTAAACAGAAAATGCATATAGGTTCTAAGAAAGCTGGGGGTGTGTTCTAAGTATTTTTTGTCATATCTCTCTAAACATAAAGGGATATATAAATAAGTTTATATATTAGAGGGAGGAAATGGAACAAAGAGAATGGGTATAATGTTCTGGCTCTCCACCTCCAGCAGTTGATTTTTTAAATTTTAAAAATAATTGATATCCCACCTTTCTTGGATATGGGATCTAAGGTTGCTCACAACATGAATTAAAACGAAGTATGTGAATTTAAAAATAAAATAAAGCTGAAAACAAGTAAGCTACTGTAGAGGTAAAGGTTTCCCCTTGACATTAAGACTCTAGGGGGTGTCCAACTCTAGGGGGTGGTGCTCATCTCCATTTCTAAGCTGAAGAGCTGGCATCGTCCTTAAACGTCTCCAAGATCATGTGGCTGGCATGACTGCATGGAGCGCTGTTACCTTGCCACTGAAGCAGTACCATATTGATCTCACATTTGCATGTTTTTGAACTGCTAGGTTGGCAGAAGCTGGGGCTAATAACGGGAGCTCACCCTGCCCCACAGATTCGAACCGCTGACTTTCTGGTCAGCTAGTTCTGCAGCTTAGATGTTTAACCTGCTGTGACACCATGGCCCCTTAATCTACCTTACAATATAAAATAAATTTAAATGGCAACAAAACTAGTAAAAATTTGGCTTACACATAACATTTTCCCATATAGCCACCAACTGCCGGTGAAAGGAGAACAGGATGTATTAGGTGAAGAGAATTAAGATAAAAAGAGTGTCATGCTCTGAGAAAAATACTGATTATTATTATTATTATTATTATTATTATTATTATTATTATTATGGAATATTGCATTCTTATTCTGGAAAATAGGGTGCACCCTTGGTTATTATCAAAAATTATTTAAGAAGAACATAAGGTAGAGAGTAAATGGGTTATTTGTTTTTGTGCAAAGATGAGATTTAGTACTACAGCCTAGGTATTTAAGATGTTTTTCAGTTCTGCACCATGATACCTCCTACATCATTAGCACAAGGGCCAGTGGAAGTTTCAGGGTAAATATGGAGTGTCATTAACTTATTTGGCACAGTGATACAGAAGACAAGCAATTGGAGTGAGAAAAAAAACAAAATAAATCAGGACTAGGAGCAATGGTTTCTGAAAGAAACAAATCCTTCAATAGCTTACCTCTGCAACCTGGTGGATTGAATGACGAAAATCAGATCATGGTCACATGCAGGAAGGAAACAAGCATCATGCAGACGGTTAGTTGAAAATAACCACAAAAACTGTAATTGCTTCCAAGGTTGGCCCAAAATAGGTTGCTGCCTATAGTCCACACTCAACTCGAAGATTAATTTCATGTAGACACCATGACTTAAATATCAAGTCAGTGCTTATCTGACACAAACACCTGGAGACTTCAAAAGATTGAAACATTTTCATATCTTTTTGGTCAACCTAATGAAGGTATCGCTGCGAGTGAGAGAAAGGATGGAGAACAAAGAGGAATATGCAACAGGTGGAATGTCCATAACTCTATTAGTGGCAATGCCTCCAGGCATCAAGGAATCATCCTGCCAACTAATGATCCCTTTTCTTATGTCTGCCCACCAGGAAAATATGGCAACCAGAGAAAAAAGGATCAAGATGGCACTAAATGGGACCCACATGGTCATAAACCACTGGATTTCCTCTTGCCATCTAGTAGTGAGACAGTAGGGATAGCTCATTACCAGGGCATATCCCTGAATGTCTTCATCCCTAGAATCTGTGTAGAAAATTTCCCAAGTGAGGAAGATGAGCATAAAGGCTCTGTTTCTTCACCAAATGAATCCACCACAGCACCCAAATCACTAGACAAAGAGAAATTGAAACATTTGGGGAGGAAGTCCCAAAAAATATGAAATCGCATAAAAACTGTACTATGGGAGTATAAGGAGAGCTGAATCTAAAACATGAGCTAGCAGAGCAGTTAGGAGTCATTTTTAAAGCTTTCCTGGTGTCCTGAAGAGGGACTTCAGCAAATGGCTACCTGGCCATGTGCTGGCTAAACCAACTAGGGACTGGCTGGTAAGAGAAGGAATCACCCAGGAGGCTGAGAAAGCTCCCTGAAGAAATACCACCAAGAAGAAAATGGCAGTAACCTATGCATCTCCCATAACTGAAAGACAGGGCTCCAGGTAAATTTGAATCTCATGCTTAAATTAATATGGACTCTTATTAACAATCTACTCCTATGTGTAAGACAAATCTGTCTTCCTTCCTCCTTGTCTACAAAGCCTACTTTGTCTACCAGTTATACCTAAGCAAACTGTCCTGTTACAGTAGGCTGAGCAGAACTTTGGAAAGCTACTGTGAAGTATGTAAGTGAATTATCTGTATTTTGGTAATAGATGGTGGGGGTGCAAATGTAAATATAGAACGGCCAACACATCCATGGTATCAAAAAGTTTACCTTTAGGCCCCAAAGGACCAGGTAATCCTCTAAAGCCTTGGTCCCCAGGCTCACCAGAGGCACCACGAGGCCCTTGTGGACCAGGGTTTCCCATTGGACCTCAAGAAGAAAAAAAACAGTTTGGATTATCACTGTTCTTGAGTTTAAAATAAACCCATTGTATGCAAACCAGGAATTTCAAACCATCATACCTTTCACACCTTCTCTTCCTTGATTTCCTGAAATACCTTTTGCTCCCATTTTCCCAGTTGGGCCAGGAGCCCCAGGTGGGCCAAAAGTCCCACAATCACCTGGATCTCCTTTAACAAGTATAGTGTTTCCTGGAGGGCCAGGTTTGCCGGGAGCCCCTGAGGACAAATTAAACAGCATTGATAATGAATTTACCAAAACATGCCACAGAAGAATATATTTACAGGCATCTACAGTCAAGTGTGCAGACTTTTGCGTACATAACCCTGAAAGGCATTATTAGAACTAACTGTAAATTTCTCTTTGCTGAGCTGGTAGGTAGAAAACAAAAAATTCATAATCCCTTTATTGTATATATTTAAAAAATAGGGAGACGTGTTATACTCTGTCGGACCATTGTTTCACTAAGCTTAGTATTGCCTATGATGATTGACAGCAGCTCTTCAATTTCAAATAATGTTCTTTTCCTAGCTTTAATATACATGCTGGGAAATGAACCTGAGATTGTTTTCACACACAAACCATGCTCTATACTAGCTGCTTGTTGCATCTGCCTTAGTGGATGTAGGGTTGCATATAACCATTTTATTATGAGCACTCTCCCACCAAAGGCTTCAGAGCAGCTTACAAAGTGTAGGCATAATAAAGGTTGTTTGCTCTGAGTCATTTCATAATGCCCATAAATATTTATTTATTTATTTACCCTATTTATACTCTGCCTTTCTCCACCCCAAATGTAAGGCAGCTTACATTTGGCAATTAGTCAGTGCCTCAAACACATGCAACATTAAGCTTGAAATCCATTGAATTAAAATTAATACATATTAAAAATTGAAAAATTACATTCAGTATTAAAATTATGCCATCCAAAAATTGTAGTCTGAGTCTAATGCTCCTCAGAACTATTTCTGGAAGAGGACTAATTTATTTAAGTGGCTTCATTTACCTTTTTAAGTTATTTAGCTCATGTTATATATGTATATAAAAAGGTACCTCTCATGCCATCTATTCCAGGAGATCCTTGGTCCCCTGGAGGTCCAGGAAGTATGTTTTCAGAAGCCTGGCCCATGAGGCCTGCAGGTCCAGAAACACCTGGCCTACCTGAAGGACAAAGACTGAAGATTTAACAATGTGTAATGATGGCCATCGTGAAATGTTGTTAGATTTTAGCATAGATGTCTTTATACTTTCCAAATGTGCAGAGCCCCCCCAGCTGAAAGTGTTTCAGGGCCCCTCTTTTCCCCCAGAGCTATACTTTCCAGAGACAATTTGTTTCTTCCCCTTGTAGCACATCTCTTTGTGCCTATGATTGCCATGGGGATGAATGGTTGGAAGAGCAACTCATAAACATATTAACTATAGCTTATGTCCATTCTCCATTCCATTAATTGGGCTCTAGACGTGCCTATGATTGCCATGGGGATGAATGGTTGGAAGAGCAACCCATAAACATATTAACTATAGCTTATGTCCATTCTCCATTCCATTAATTGGGCTCTAGACTTTTTAAAAAATATACTTCTTACCAGGAGGACCTAAGAAGCCCATGTCTCCAGGGGGACCTGGACTGGAGGATCCTGGTAGCCCTGGTTCTCCTCTGTTGCCTTTTGGTCCAGGTTCTCCTCTGCATCCTGGAGGTCCCATTTCATTTAAACCTTTGTAAAAGAATAATTGTTCAGCATGAAGCTTTTTAACATCATTGGAGAAAAGTGATATACAAAATAAAATTTCAAAAAAGATTTCCATGTCAGGACCTGTTGGTCAACAATCCTGCTGTCACGAGGGTTTAACACATTGCTTGAACCACACAAAGTCATTCTTTTGAGTGAATTTTTTTCTGGAAATTCTTATGGAAAATGTATTGTGTATGAATCGATGAATAATGTCTGTGATTTTTTTCAATCTGTTTTTTTTAAAAAAAGTTTTCTAAATGCTTTTTTCTCAAAATGATATAGCATCCAAATCTTCAAACAAGATCTTCCCCAAAATTAATTAGCTATGACCAGAATCCAAAGGATTGTCCACCCAGTCATGGACTTCTTGCCTTACTGGGCATCACTTTTTCAAGTTCTTTAAAAAGAGAATGGCAAGTCAATAAGTCCTTCAAAGTAGACAGAAGAGCTTCTGCCAAAATGGAGCATTTTATCTCCCCATACATGTCCAGAAGCCATTTAAATAATAATTTTTAAAACAGAATGAAATTCACAGGGTCACCATAAATCAGTAGACAACTTAAAAGACATACACACACGCATCACAGAACATCAATCTCTCACTTGGATTGTGTCAAGTTTGTCCATTTGACATACAGCAAATAGTTTAATTAGTAGTAATTTTTCTGCAGCACAATAGATTCCTTAGAAAGTCCTTTTTAAAACAACAAACCAATAATTTGAATATTCTCTTTCATTAAAGCAAAATTAATGATAAACTTTAAAAAATATGTGGAAAGTTTAGGTTAACAATTATGGTATGTTGGGTCAACTAATGACAACCAGTCATTATATGATTAAGATATGGTTTTCAATAAACCCAGCTAATAATGCCATCAATTTCATGTTTAGTCTCACTTTTGTAAAGAAAACAAATGAAATTTGGTCATTTTGATTCTTTACCTGGTGTGCCTGTCAATCCTTTTTGACCCTGTAGTCCATTTAGACCATTTAATCCACGCAATCCTAAAAGACCTTTAAAATATTGCATAAAAAAGAAAAGAAGAGATGGAGTATCAAAAATGAAAGTGACCATTTAATTAAAATCACCGCTACTGCAGTTAAGTGAATATGAGCAACATGTATTCATTCACAAGCATGTTTCACTGAACAATTTGTATTGTATAGGTTGTTTGAAAGGTGAAAAATGACAAATAAGGGACATGATCAAGCCACAATTCCTTGTTGTTTTCATTTACATTCCTATATATCTCCCCCACTCCGTCTAATCAACAAACCATTCTGAGGTGCAATTCTAAACCCCAGTGAAGACAAGTAAAATATTTTTCTATTTGTTGTTGAAGGCTCTCATGGCCAGAATCACTGGGTTGTTGTGAGTTTTCCGGGCTGTATGGCCATATTCCAGAAGCATTCTCTCCTGACATTTCACCCACAGGCAGGCATCCTCAGAGGTTGTAAGGTCTGTTGGAAACTAGGCAAGTGGGGTTTATATCTGTGGAATGTCCAGGCAATATGTCTATTGGCAAAAAGCAGGTTTTTCATTGGTAGAGTATATCTGCTATGAGGGTCTCCAGTACGTCCCCAGGAGGCTCAGTAACACAGATCTACTGCAAATGGAAGAAGCCCAAAAATTCCACCAAGGGTTTTCTTGAGGAGCTGCTGGTTCAAAGTTTAAGCAACCTTGACACCGCTCAGAATTGGACATCATCATCATTTCTGTCCTGCCCTTTCCCCAGTTCAAGACTCAAAGCAGCTTACACCATGTTGATAAACATATTGTGTATGACTATGACTAAGTTAAGATTTCTTCTCATTGGTTTCAATAACATAGTAAATAGAAGAAATGAAGACCCAGAAGAAAAACAATGTGGAAAGGTTCCCACACTGTCCATCTAGGCCACATCTTGGGCTGTAGAATCAATAAACCATCACCGGCCAGCAACACCCACTTTTCCCTATTAGGATTGCTCTGCTTGCTGCTTTAATCTTGGATTGTTAAGAATGGGGTTCTTACAAAGCCACTCCTTCGTTGCTCTGGCGGTGTGCTTGGGATCACTGTCATGCTGAAAGACCCAGCCACGTTTCATCTTCACTGCCCTTGCTGATGGAAGGAGGTTTGCACTCAAAATGTCATGATAAATGGACCCATTCATTCTTTCATGTATACGGATCAGTTGCCCTGGTCTCTTTGCACAGAAACAGCCCCAAAGCATGATGTTGCTATCCCCATGCTTCACAGTAAGTATGATGTTTTTTGGATGCAACTCAGCATTCTTTCTCCTCCAAACACAACAAGTTGTGTTTCTGCCAAGCAGTTCTACTTTGGTTTCATCTGACCATATTCTTCTGGATTATCCAAATGCTCTCTAGCAAACTTCAGTCGGCCCTGGACATGTACTGGCTTAAGCAGGGAGACACATCTGGCACTGGAGGATCTGAGTCCCTGGAGGCGTAGTGTGTTACTGATGGTAGCCTTTGTTACGTTGGTCCCAGCTCTCAGCAGGTCATTCACTTGGTTCTCCGTGTGGTTCTGGGATTTTTGCTCACCCTTCTTGTGATCATTTTTACCCCACGGGGTGAGATCCTCAGATTAAGGGAGATTATCAGTGGTTTTGTATCTCTTCCATTTTCTAATTATTGCTCCCACAGTTGATTTCTTCACACCAAGCTGCTTGCCTATTGCAAATTCAGTCTTCCTAGTCTGGTGCAGGGTGACAATTTTATTTCTGGTGTCCTTTGACAGCTCTTTGGCCTTCACCGTAGTAGAGTTTGAAGTGTGACTGCTTGAGGTTGTGGATAGGTGTCTTTTATACTGATTACAAGTTCAAATAGGTGCCATTACCACAGGTAATAAGGAGAACAGAGGAGTCTGTCTGTGAGACCCAGAAATTGTGCTGTTTATAGGTGACCAAATACTTATTTTCTACCATAATTTGTAAATAAATACATTAAAATCAGAATGTGATTTTCTGGATTTTTTTTTCATGTTGTCTCTCATAGTTGAGGTCTACCTATGATGTCAATTACAGGCCTCTCTCATCTTTTTAAGTGGGAGAATTTGTACAATTGGTATCTGACTAAATACTTTTCCCCCCACTGTACCTCTTAAGAGTTTGTGGTTAAATTCTTAATTTTAGCATCTGACACTGAGCAACTCAACTAAGATTTTTCACTAAGCACTGTTTGATAGACTCTTCCACCCAGCAACAGACACTGGTCTATATAGACTATTAAGTCTGACACTATATTCCTGACATCTGAAATCTATTGCTTATTGTTTATGCTTTCTGACATTATTTTGGAGGAATGTAAAATAAGAGATACTTCCATGTGCAGGATCTGACTTCCGCAGAAGTAAACACTGATGGTTGTAGTTAGTCTTTGGAATCCACTTTGCTGTTTAATTCTCTTGGTTCTTATTTAATTTCAACAATGATTGATGTTTTTGTTTACATTGCTTTCTAGACAATTTCTAACACTTTGGCCAACAATCCAAAAAACATCAACAAGTCTGAGTATATATTTGGATCACTCACTCTTCTATAAACTGAGTTGGATGAACTATGAGTGAACTGTTACTTTTACTTTTTTTCAGTACAATTCTTCAACTTGCTTTATTTAAATGAATTAATGTATACAAAAGGGGTTTCAAGACTGGGCTGTTGATTATAATAATGGAAACCACAATTCAAAACTAAATTGGGTTTGGGTTTGGTTTTGTTTTTTGACATGTCCTGTATTATTATTTTTCCACATACATCTGAAATCAGTTTAAACAAGAGTTTTGTAGGTAGAATTAAAAGGAATAAAAATGTTTAAGACTTATAATACAAAGACTGATGCTACACCACTGAAATCTTGTGTTTATTTTATTGGATGTCAGTAAAGGCCCACTCTTATTCTCATTTCATTGGCAGGCGCTCACAAAATAACTGGGCTTGGGCTTTTAGTTCTGTGCATGTCTGTTGTTAGGATTTGTATACAGTCTTTTGATGCATTTAATATTTTGATGTTTATATTTTAACCCATAAATAGTTCTATTATTTTTCAAATCTTATATTTATAGTTTTATTAATTACTTAGGTATTTTAATGTGTATATAGTTAAATATGTTCTTAGCCACCTGGAGTGCCATCATTGGAAGGAAGGCTGAGCACTTCCATCTGAAGAGCAACTTAGAACCTCATGCAGTGCATGTTAACTATAAACTTGTCTAAAACAGTCCCTACTTTAATGCACACATATACGAGTAAGTTGATCATCCCTTATCCAGAATTCTGATTTCCAAAATTCTCCAAAATCCAAAATTGTTCACATAGTTGAATGAGATAGTGAAACCTTTCCTTTCTGATGTATCCATATACACAAACCTTATTTCATACACAAAATTATTAAAATAATGTGGCAAAAAGCGTTTCCTCTTAAGTAGTGGCCACAGCGGCTGCCTGGGTTCTCTGCACAGAGACTCGAGTGGCATGGGTCTTCACCAGGTGGTCGGTAAACTCCTGATATGGAGATTTGGTGAAGACTTCTAATCGAGATCACCAAATGGCGGACGACGCCGGTGCTGCGGGAGGAGCTGGAGGGGCTGGTGGTGGTGGAGGAGGAGGACCAGCGGCCCGAGGCGGCTTCCGGGGTGGCTTTGGCAGCAGAGGCCGAGGACGGGGCAGCTGAAGGGGCAGAAGACGGGGAAGAGGACGTGGGGCCCGAGGAGGCAAGGCAGAGGACAAAGAATGGATTCCAGTCACCAAACTTGGTCGCTTGGTCAAAGACATGAAGATCAAGTCCCTGGAAGAGATCTACCTTTTCTCCCTTCCAATCAAGGAGTCTGAAATCATTGACTTTTTCCTGGGCTCCTCTCTGAAAGACGAGGTTTTGAAGATCATGCCGGTGCAGAAACAGACCCGTGCCGGTCAACGAACCAGGTTCAAGGCGTTTGTTGCCATCGGCAACTACAACGGCCACGTGGGCCTTGGTGTCAAATGCTCCAAAGAATTGATACGTTTTATGATACTGTCACAGGCCTGGTTTATCTTCATGACCCAAGCTACTACAGTGCTGGGAGGCTTCAACACATATAGTGCTGGGAGACTTCAATATCCATGCTGAGACTGCACTGTTGGAAGTAGCTCAGGACTTCATGGCCTCCATGACAACCATGGGTCTGTCCTCGGTGGTGTATTGCCTAACCATGCTGCAGGACACACTTTCAACCTTGTTTTCCATCCAGGATGGAATGATGGTGATTGTGGTGTGGAGGAACTTGTCATAGCTTTGTTGTTATGGATCTATCACTACCTGGTCAGGTTTAGACTTGCTGGGACTCCAAACCTCTGCAGGGGTGGGGAACAAATTAAGATGGTCCACCCCAGGAGACTTATGGATCTGATGGATTCCTGACAACTCTTGAGGATTTTCCTGTCACCTTGGCAGGCGTTTCTGTCTAAGCTCTGGCTGACCTCTGGAATGGGGAAATGGCCAGGGCAGTGGACATAATCACTCCTGAATGTCCCCTCTCATGGAGCAGAGCCAAACCAGCCCCTTGGTTTCCCAAGGAGTTGGTGGCAATGAAGCAAGTGAGACGGAGACTAGAGCAACATTGGCAGAGAGCTTGAAGTGAATCTGGAGGCAGCAGAGAAATCGTTCCTTGCTGCCACCATTATATCTGCAAGGAACTGTCTAGCTGAACTGTTTTGAGTGGTCAGAGAACTACTACATATTGATCCTTAAGGAGACATCCCTGACCATTTGGCAACTCGCAGTGCAGAATTTGCATAGCACTTTGTAGATAAAGTTGTTCAGATTCATTCCGACTTGGATGCTGTTATTGACATACTTCCAATAGGTGTAACTTTGGCTCCTTCTTGCCCAGTTAGCAACCTGGCTGTAGCTCTTTGGACCAGCTGAAATTTCCGAACACCCTTCAGAGGCAGCCCCATGTAGCATGCATTACAGTAATCCTGATGGGATGTAACTAGGCATGTACCACCGTGGCCAGATCCTGGAAGGCTGTTAGTACAGTTTTTTATTTATAATTATATCTCCCTTTCAGCCTGAATAATCTGCTTGCATATCTTATAAAATATCAATTTTCAAAGGCTTACCTTTTCTACCTGGGCTGCCAGGTAATCCAGGCGAACCAGGAGACCCCAAAAGTCCAGGATTGCCTTTTTCTCCTGGAACCCCTGGTAAGCCGGCAACCCCCTGAGCACCTACAGTTGGATGAGATATAATCATAAAACAACAGTTACCAGTCTCTCTTTTAAATTGTCATATGATTCTATAATATTCTAAATATATCTAATCTGGAAATGTACCAATGACTCTAGAAATAACAAAGATAAGAACATATCTATTGGTTGCTCTGGCTAACATTTTTCAAGCGCTTGTAGCAGAATGTGAAAGGCTAACCCAAGTTAAATCATGACAGTGCCTTATTATTGAATATCTGTGTTGATACTACTTGGCCAATGTGGCAAAAGGCACACGTTTTTTTCCCCATGGCTGCTACATGTCAAGATGGCTTTGGAAAAAGTCCTCTGTGAACTTCATATTTTGTCTTGTTCTGTGATTCTGCTGTTGTTCCACCATTTTCCACAGACTTGCTCAATACCCACAATATACTTAAAAACACTAATCTGATTTACTTTTCTTTCCTTCCACCTCACCTGGGAAGCCAGGTGTTCCTGGATATCCAGGTAATCCTTTGGATCCTTGGCTGCCCGGCTCCCCTTGGCCACCTGGTATTCCTTGATCTCCTGGTAATCCATTAAGACCTTACACAATCAAATAAACAAACATTCGGTTTAGAAGGTTTTAACAGAGAATACTTCAAAAATGTAGAACTCAAGATACTCAGATATATTTCCAAACTTGCCCAAGGTTTTTTTCTGCCTAAAACAGAAGATAATACCATTTCACCTAGAGAAGCAAACCATATTGCGTTTCAAATGTGACTTCTGTACGAGTAACAGAATTCCAGACTTTTTCAGTTTACTTTAGGGAAGCCGTCTATCCTAGACCAAATTATTCCAAAATCTGAAGAAAAAAAATCTAAATCCAAAACACTTCTCTTTCCAAGCATTTCAAATTAGGAATACTCAACCTGTATTAAATTAGTGAATAGTGTTAAAAACAATTAACCCATGCAATAGGATAAAAAAATAAGCAAGTTGTTTTACTAAAGCATATTTGTTACAATATATGAAAAAGTACCATTACCTGGTAATCCTGGGTCTCCCATAGGGCCCTTGTTACCAGGCTGGCCAATGTTAATAGCTGGATCACCTCTGGCCCCTGTAAAGATCGAGATAGAGTATAATGTGTTGTCAAAGGTTTTCATGGCCAGAATCACTGGGTTGCTGTGAGTTTTCCGGGCTGTATGGCCATGTTCCAGAAGCATTCTCTCCTGACATTTCACCCACATCTATGGCAGACATCCTTAGCGGTTGAGGAGTCTGTTGGAAACCAGACAAGTAAGTTTTATATATATCTATGGGATGTCCATAGGTGGGAGAAAGAACTCTTGTCTGTTTGAGGCAAGTTGCAATTGAATGTTGCAATTGGCCAACATTATTAGCATTTAATGGCCTTATAGCTTCAAAGCCTGGCTGGTTGCTGCCTGGGGATCCTTTGTTGGGAGGTGTTAGCTGGCCCTGATTCATTCTTGTCTGAATGCCCTGTTTTGTTTTAATGTTGCTCTTTATTCACTGCCCCAATTTTAGAGGGTTTTTTTTAAAATACTGGTAACCAGATTTTCTTCATTTTCATGGTTTCTTCCTTTCTGTTGAAATTGAGATAGAGCTTGTTTCTGAGAAAAAGAAATCTCCAGTGAATAAATAGAGAATAACACTTTCCTTTATCTCTACTGTCTTTGTCAACATCATAATACACATTTGTTCTGTTTTTGCAATCAAATTTTCAAAACATTCTAGGCCATCAATTTTTGTAACAACATAATTGGTTGTAACTACTCCAAATCTGGGGTGGGAATGATGTGCCCTTCCTACAGCTGACTTGCAACTCCCAGCATTCTTCACCACTGGCTGTACTGGCTATTAAGATTGCTGGGGTTTGTCATACAACATCTGAAGGGATGCACATTTCCCATTCCACTCCAAATCATGTAGCAACATGTAAACATGATAAGGGTCTACTCTCTCACTACCAAAATTAATTTATGAAACCTTCAGTAAGACAGACATACAAATAAGACATAACTAGCTTTTTCGTGTCAGAAGCAACTTAAGAAACTGCAAGTCACTTCTGGTGGGAGATTATTGGCTGTCTGTAGGAATGTTGCCCAGGAGATGCCCGGATGTTTTACCATCCTGTGGGAGGCTTCTCTTATGTCCCCACCTGGGAAGCTGGAGCTGACAGATGGGAGCTCATCCCATTTTGCAGATTTGAACCGGCGGCCTTCAGGTCAGCAGTTCAGCCGGCAGAAGGATTTAACCCATTGTCCCATCATGGATAACTAGCTAACTGTAACAGTCTCCTTTTCCAATGATGTAGCCATAACTGAGATACACTTCAGATATACCTTAACTCTGCTCCTTTTCTGGTAAAGACTTATTTATGTGTGCAGTTACAGTGCTGGTGCCTTACTAAAAGCACCAGCCTTACTAAAGGTTGGAAGAAAATACAACTTGGTACAATCATTGCCTAGGTCTTGAAGAGAGAAAAAAGAGTGGATAGAAGAATGTTTAGTTTTTACTGATCAATAATTTTTGAGAAACACAAAGGCAACGAGTTACTTTTAAGAAAAATAACTATAGTGGCAACCAACTATTTGGAGTGAACTAGAATGAACTAGAATAAGAAACAATTACTTTTTAAAGTAATTTCCAACGTTCTGTGTATACAACCAATCCGATGTTTTTTGACTCACCCGGATTTATTACTGTTTGTGTATTACTTTCTCCTGGTACATCCACACAAATTCAAGTCACTCACACATGTTGAATACATTATCATGGCATCATTACCTTTAGACCCCTTTTCACCATCAAGTCCCGGACTTCCTGGAATGCCAGGCAATCCCTGTGCACCCTGATTATTTTATGAAAAGGAAATGTGTATCAATTATCACATATCAAATGTATGACACCAGATGTTAAAATGAAAATTGAGTTCTATAAAAACTTGAACTTTGATAGGTTTTTAAAAAAGAAGGACAACAATGTAAATACAACACTTCTTTTTTCAACAGTTCCCTGCACCTACCTCTGGTTTCTATTCCTTCTACAGAAATACAGATTTTGCTATTGTTTTAAGCAACTTATACAAGTAAGAAGAGCCCACACAGAATCTGGAAAAATGACTTTTGGGGTTCTTCAATCTCAGAATCTCCTTCTTTCTCTTTTCTGAATTACAATATCCATAGGTCATGCTGGCTTTGGAAACTGTAATCCATGCCAATACTTTTTCCAAATTCTAATCCTCTTGAGTCCCTCCACGAGGGAGAAATGGCGGGATATCAAACAAAGTAAATAAATAAATAAAAATTCTCTGATCCATATTTGGCAAAAAAAAGAGAATAGAAGTTTTTTTGTGTGCGTGTCAGGAGCGACTTGAGTCAAGGCACTTCTGGTGTGAGAGAATTGGCCATCTGCAAGAACATTGCCCGGGGAATGCCCGGATGTTTTACCATCCCGTGGGAGGCTTCTCTCCTGTCCGCACATGAGAAGCTAGGGCTGACAGATAAGAGCTCACCCAGCTCCCTGGATTCAAACCACTGACCTTTCGGTCTTCAGTTCTGCCGGCACAAGGGTTTAGCCCATTGTGCCACTGGGGACTCCTAGTATAGAAGTGAAACTATCCTAATCCACACAAATCCATTTTTAAAGCATTGGAGCAGTACATGTGAAACATTCAACATACATTGAAATACATAAATCACCTGAACTTTGTAGACTAACTCATTTTCAAATAATTACAAGAGCAATCATTTTACACACATTATGTTTACATCAACTTGCTGGAAATTATATTACACAATGCGTTCTTTAACATAATCAACCTTGATGTCAACAAAGTCAGAGATTTGAAATCAAACAAACAACGTTACTGATGATGTCTTAACAGACATAACAGACTTGCAAAAAACAATGTTTAAAGTACATATTCTAATACTTAAGTATAGGTATTAAAACCATGCCAAACTTACCCTTTAACAGAAGTATGCTCATTAGTAGTATACATAACTTTTTTCCATAATATGTACCACTTTATTTATTATTGTGTTTACTACAGAAGCTGAACTGAATGTATCTCATATATGATAAATCAGCTTTGCAATACGTTTACTCTGCAATCTAATCTTAATGTCAAGGGAAACCTTTACCCTTTACCTGGTCTCCACCAACATTTAGAATTGAATATGTCACATGTTCTAGGTAGTTGCTCTTTACTTTAGGGAATAGGGCAAGGATGTGCCATGAGTAGCTAACTATTACATCCCAAACGCCTTTGCCATTTGATCTGAGATCTGAAAGCAAACACAGTAACTATATAATTGTAAGACTTCCAAAACCTATTGCTCTCAACCTACCTGGTCACCTTGCCGTCCTTGAAACCCAATTATTCCTCTCAGTCCTGCAGACCCTGGAAGGCCTGGGAGGCCTTGAAAACCAAGCTCCCCAACATCACCTGGTTTGCCTTTTTCGGTTCCTGGACGTCCATCTCTGCCTGGCAATCCTGGGATTCCTTGAAATCCAGGGCTGCCTTTGTCACCTGGAATTATTGTTGCCCATTACTAGGCTGTACATCACTGTACATCACAGCATTTTCTAGTTGCAAATGTTAAATAAGAGAATGCAAAATAACAACACACTGATTTGAAGTTAAAGGGAATCTCTAGCAACTCCACAAAAAGATGAAACCTGGAAATGTTACTTTGGGGAGCTGTTTTCTAGAATCCCACTCTAGCATAGCTATTGGTTGTGGAGTTTGGGATTGGTAGTCAAAATCATTTTTCCAAACTTCAGTATGTGAAAAAAGTACTTTATGATATGTAGCAAAGTTTAGCCACAATTTAAGAAAATGTCTTCACTGAGCAAGATGTTTGCTTCAAAAAGGTACAAAGAATGCTTTATTAAATTGGGCTTGTACCACAGTCATAGTTTTGAGAAAAACCAAATAGCGAATACCTTATATTGCAATCGTTGAAATACTTGCAATGTAAGTTTACCAAAATGACTCATTTTACAACAAAGTCACTGAATATCAGTGATGAAAACTGTAAATGTGTAAATGGGGTGGTAAGTACTGTACATTGCTCTATTCATATTTGGAAGAAAATAATTTCCAGTTAATTAGTAATATTAGCTAACATTAACTGACCAATTTATTCCCTAATTAATGAAATGCAAACACGGTTATGTCCAACCTTCCTTTTAATTTCAGTAGGCTTGCATCACTGGCTTAATAGCAGAAACATAACTGCAGTGTTCTTAGTGCTTTTCAAAATTAAATAGTATGAGGTTTGTGTAAATATAAAACCTTAACATTACAGTTATTGGCTATTTACTTACCTTGTACTCCTGGTAAGCCATCCTCACCAGGGAGACCTGCTTCCCCTTTTCCTCCCTTCTCTATCAATACAGTAATAACACCATCCTCTCCTGGCAGTCCTCTCTCTCCTTAAAAGCAGAGCATACAGATGGACAAATAGATTTGTTAATGACACCGCTGCTTCAGATCCATCCAGTGGCATCATGAGAGCACTTACAAGGGGTGTAAACTGTACTGGATAGCACCATCGGAGCGAGTGATACCGAAATGACTGTATATAAATATTTTGTATCAAGAATAGGGCTCCACAGTTACCTACGGACCCACCAGAACACTGATCCTGGAAGACTATCCTACTCGGCCAACGAGGGATCGCCTAAGTAAGTAAGTAAATATTTTGTACAGTAGGTTCTTGTGGGTTTTTTTGGGCTATAGGGCCATGTTCTAGAGGCATTTCTCCTGACGTTTCGCCTGCATCTATGGCAACCATCCTCAGAGGTAGTGAGGATGCTTGCCATAGATGCAGGTGAAACGTCAGGAGAAATGCCTCTAGAACATGGCCCTATAGCCCGAAAAAACCCACAAGAACCTAGTGATTCCAGCCATGAAAGCCTTCGACAATTTTGTACAGTGTTTCAACAGAAATTTATTATTTTTAATAAAAATATCTCTTTAGTTTTGTAGCAGCCACAAAACCATTTTTTTATTTTCCTAATTTTCTATCTAACACATACTGTACCAATATACCTCAAAGGCTAAAACATTATGCTAATCTAGTTTGTAAACTTTCTAATGCACATGTGCTCTTGTAGGAGCTGGCATTATTATTCAATTACAATGATGCATCAAATCACATGGGGTCATCTGCACATGCTACAAGCACACAGTTGTTTTCAATGTTGCTACATTCTTATAGTTGCTGATTTTGCCATGTTTTCTTATATTGTACCCACAATATCGTGGTGTGGACTGATATGGGAGGATCTCCTGATCTTCACTGCGAAAGACCATGCGGATCCAGAATAGTCTTTAGAGCAGTGGTTCTCAACCTGTGAGTCCCCAGGTGTTTTGGCCTACAACTCCCAGAAATCCCAGTCAGTTTACCAGCTGTTAGGATTTCTGGGAGTTGAAGGCCAAAACATCTGGGGACCCACAGGTTGAGAACCACTGCTCTAGAGTTACTTATGGACCCACTGCCAACACTACACTTGGAAGTCAATCATACTTAAGCATGAATGATAACCTATGATGATGGTGATGGTGATGATGATGAAATGGGAGGAGGTCAATGGGGTTCCCATGCTGGGTGACACCAAATCAGAGACACAACTGAATCCACCATTCCTATTATTGGGATGCAGACTATGTACTAAATATGTTTTAAACCAACTTAGAATTGAGCAAAACTTTTGTTTGTTATTTAGACAACAGCAGCAACTTAGAGGACATCATAAGCAATAAGGATCAGGATGAACATCACAAGGGAAATGCTGGTCCATGTTCTCTAGAGGGCTCATCAAATCTACGCAGTTACTCCTTTTTAATAATGGTTGCTTACACATCCTACTCTTTTTTCCCTCAACCTTGGTGATCTGAAGAGAATGTGGTCCCATCACTATCCATCTTTACTCAAAAGAGAAGTAAGTGACTAAAGTATATTGTATCATGATAACATTCATAAAAATAAACAAATATGTTAAATAATCATTAAAAACATATCAAACTTTAAAAGAACTTATCAAAATCACATTGTCCAAAATCATAGTCCAGGCCATTACAAAATGTCATTGCACTATTTCATTATTCTTGTGGGTTATTAACTGAATGCTTGATCCCACATTCACGTCTATAACATTTTCCTGAAAGTCAGGAGGGAGCAAGCTGATATTAGGGAGGGAGTTCTATAGCCAAGGGGCCACCACTGAGAAGATCCTGTCTCTTGTCCCACCAACCCCACTTACAAAGGAGGTGGGACAGAGAGCAGAGCCTCCTCAGATGCTCTTAACCTCCTAGTTGTCTCATAGAGGGAGATACATTTGGACAGGTAAACTGAGCCAGAACCATTTAGGGTTTTATAGGCTAAAGCCAGCACTTTGAATAGTTGCCACTTCCCAGTGTATAGAAAGAAACACTTTTGGACAAGACTTCTGAGTGGGTATAGAGGTACTCTACTCCTCCCAAGTGCTCCAGCAGAGATTGCATGTATATGTGTGTTTTTCTAGTAATAATGGTCCTGCATTGCTGGATTCCTTTGAATGGGTAGTGGCCCACTGTCAAGTAGAGCAATGAATGAGTCACTTTAAATTGTAATGGTTCCACAGCCTGTCCCACACTCTCTGCTGGAAAGTGAAGTCTCATTCATCTTGATGAAGGAGAGATCAATTTCCAATCTGGTTGGGCTCTATATGTGGAATAAGAGAGCAGCATCTTATCTTTCACCGCAGGCAGAAAAATGTCTTTTGCCCTCTCTGGCTATCGAGGCATTGAGTAGAAGAAACTGACTTTTTAATGGCTAGTACTGCATGGAATTATAGCAGATGAATAAAATGGCACAGCCAGAAGAGCAGATGGCACCTGTCTCATCTCTAAAGATGATAAATCCTTTTACTATAATTGAGGCCAGTCATCAGACTAACTCAGGCCAGCCTCAAAATAATCATATAAATTAGTTGTAAAACACAGGAAATGAATGGACATATCAAAAGGAGCAGCAGATGAGATTTTTGAAGAAGAATTATGAACTGTATGAGAATTCAAGCCTTGGTACAAAGTCAAAATTTAACAAAGCAATTAGGTCTTTTAAAAAAAAAACCAAACAAATTCTAGCTGGAAAAAGTATCACTTTATCTGATGTATTTCAGAAGATAATTACTCATGAATAAAAGGGACTGCCTCTACATACCTTTGGAGCCAATAACACCATATTCTCCAGGAGGACCACGCAAACCTGTTTGTCCTTCTTCCCCTTTCATACCAGGCGCTCCCATTTCTCCATCACTTCCTGGGAACCCTGGAAAACCTTGCATGCCTTTGGACCCTTTGCTCCCTTTAAATAAACAGTTAAATTACTGATTACTATAAGCCACAGAACTGTTTGATCCATAGTGCCACAAGAAAGATCCAAAAAAAGTGTTATCCCGAATTGAAAAGTCCCTTGTTTTAAAGCAAATACAGGGAGTCCCCAAGTTGTGAATAAGATCGATTCTGTAGGTTTGTTCTTAAGTTGAATTTGTATGTAAATCAGAACAGGTACACTTTTAAAGTGTAACTCCAGCTAAATATATATCTATATAGCTTTGGATAGCATAGGGAAGGGTTAACACCCTGTGGTGTTTGTTTTGCTATCTGTGCTCCTGTTCAGAAGATTTCACTTCACTTTCTGACCCTGCGAGAATTGGAGTTTGAAAAAAAAAGGCTGGTGATAAAGTTTAAGTTGATATACCTTTTTCCCGTGATAACTCTTTCCAGAGTGAATTTCCCTTCCTAGAGGTAGATTTCTCTCACTTCCTGTTATCTCACCCCCTGTTCTGAACTATGAGTCATTTGTAAGTCAGATGTTTATAACTCGGGGACTGCATGTACTAAGTTTTTTTATCTGTCACAGCAGAAGGAAGCTTGAAGTCAGAGTTTAACAAATTAGAAAAAAAGGCTACTTGGATTCTACATAAGAGAGACAGAGACCTTGTAGAATTTACTTTTTGGATTTCAAATCCCAGAATCTCCAACCTCATCCAACTTTGCCAATTACCATTCATCTCCCAGTGTGTTCCTTTTTAACTGTGATGTGCCCCTCATGATATCAGTTGAGCTATAGTATAAGGAAATAAATTAGTATCTTCTGTCCTTGAGTTAGAAGCTATATGCTAAAGAAAGAGAGAAGGGGAGCACTTTGGTCTAAACACTCTACATCTTATGAGTGTGTTGTTCATATATCTGGGATGTAAACTAAAGTCCCATCTAGTACAGCTCATGACCTTTAAAGGTACATGAAATAGAAACAATGATTAGAAGTACTATCATGATTAGTAAAAACATGCTGAAAATACAGTTTGCTGAGTCACCATATACCTTTCTGCCCTGGAAGGCCTGGCAATCCATTTTCCCCTGGAAGTCCTGGATTTCCTCTTAAACCTGGAGGCCCTGGTGATCCTTGTGTTCCAGGAACTCCTGGCATACCTTTCATCCCAGCTGGACCTGGTGCACCCATATCTCCTGGTGGACCTTTGATGCCCTGCAAACCTAATGGAAGTGTGCATTAAGTAGTACTAAAACACCCTAGAAGCTCATGTCAGCTCATTTATTTCTCTGCTGTCCTTCAATTTGCAATCTTGCACTCTGATCACCTCGGTAGGAGAGGAGACCCAACACCAGAACTAAAGGAGGAGACTTAAAAAAGGAGACCCGATATCAGGAAGAAAAGGGATTCTCTTAAGCATGATATCTTAAGCATCAACCATAGTGGCATAGGGTATGCCCTTCAAATACAAATACCAATCTCACAAATGAGGGAAATGCACACACATATACAGAGAGAGAGAGAGAGAGAGACTTTTCAAGGCAGTCCTCTCAACCTGAGATTTCCCCTTAGATCTGAGAACGCTTTATGGATGGCTTTTGTTGTTTCACACCTTTACTTGGTGCTCCACCTAGAAAGCAAAATGTCTTGAGCTGGCTGATTATAGAATACGCTTCAAATGGCATGACTTTGCAAAGAATCTTCTTTATTTCTCTGCTTGTTGCCAAAAACTATTGTAGCATCTCCTGCTGAATCCTCTCCTCAGGAGCAAAATGAAACTTTTCAAAATAACACAACTGCCTTTCTCATCTCTTACTGGTATTGTGATCATATCCTAAAATGTTTCTTCCATTTCTCCTTAGACAAAAGGCTTTGATAGATCAGTCTAATAGAACTGGCTGAATGAACACATTTTATTAAATGGATATATACAATCAACATTAAAAGGAGAAGGGAGGGTAAAAGGGAAAAGGGAGGCACCTGTTTTTTTAGTTAGGGTCCTTCTACACAGGTCCAAAACCTGTGATGGGATGCGGGTTAACTTGTGTACAAACAACACCTCAGGTTGATCCAGATTAATCCGGAATAAACTGGCATTTCCCAGTTTACTCTGGATTTATAAAACACCATATTGTGTGGTCCAGATCTTTCCAGGTGCTGGTGTTGTGGGGACTGACTCTCGGGACTGCCTTTCACCATCCCAGGAGTCAATCCCCATTGCCATCCTGGTTCTTTGGGCTCTAAAAGCATCTAACTGCATCTTTAGAGAAAGATGCAGAGAAAGCTTCTGATGCATCAAAATTATGTGTCGGGAGCTTTGGAGATGGTACAGGGGGAAATAATTTTGATTCATCAGAAGCTTTCTCCGAGGGGTTTATAGATGCAGCCATGCCCCTCTGGTAAGTTTTGGGGGTGGGGAAATGGGGGGCTGGCTAGATGACCTCCTGGGTTGACCTCTGGTTGACCTACCTGTTATTTCCCATTTTTACTTTCAACGAGCACGTGATTTTTCTTGTTCCAGCTAATATCCAACATACACGTCCCTCCTCCCTGATATCACACTTTACTATATATACTCTAAAATATCAATTTACAAAACTATGCCTCATCATAATTGCTTTAAAATACAAACTTCTGCAAACATGTAAAATAGTCAAACATTATAAAGAGAACAAAGAAGCCCCAAAGTGTATGTGCTCATATTTTCTTTGCAGAAAGACAAGTTTGTGCTCTCACCTCTAGAACCTGGTGGTCCAAAAGAGCCCGGTGGTCCTGGAGGTCCCTGCAAGCCATTTTCACAAGGTGGCCCAGGTGAGCCAGGGTCTCCCATGGTTCCTATGTCACCTTTTCTACCTCTTAGACCTTTCGCTCCTGGAAATCCTGGAGTACCTGGCTGTCCTGAGATAAAGTTACACTGATAAAGAAAAATGTCCCAAAATATTAAAAATGGAGAACATTAACATGAGTAACCATAATGACTCCAGAGACATTTTTCTTTCTCTGCTTTGTATCCTTAACCTTGACCAAGCAAAAAGCCATTTTTCAAAACCTGGAACACCTTTCAGATAATGAGTGAGAATGGTAAGAGAAATATCTGCAGAAGGAACATTCAACATCCATATGTAGAGAGCTATAGAAAACACAGATGTTCCTCAACATTTTGGGGTGACAGCAGGAATACTTAATGCAGTAGTTCTCAACCTGTGGGTCCCCAGGTGTTTTGGCCTACAACTTGTAGAATCCCAGCCAGCTTACCAGTTGTTAGGAGTTCTGGGAATTGAAGGCCAAAACATCTGGGGACCCACAGGTTAAGAACCACTGACTTAATGGAACTTTACACAGAGGCCAGACACTAGGAAAACTTAATTCTTGTTTGGCACATAGATTTATATTATGCTTCCTTGCTTCTACTTAGTTTTAATGTACAGGTTGAGCATCTCTTATTTGGAAATACAAAATCTAAGATTGTCCAACTGGGTGGCCAGGATAGTGACATCTTTGCTTTCTGATGTACAATAGACACACATTTTGTTTCATGCACAAAATAATTAAAAGTATTATATAAGGTTACCTTCGGGTTACATGCATAAGGTGTACATAAAACATCAACTGATTTCTTATCTAGACTGGTGTCCTTTTTTATTAAGTACATATATGCAAATGCAGTTTTCCAAAACATGAAAACATCCAAAATTCAAACATTTCTGGTCCAAAGCATTTTATATAAGATTTACTCGGCCTGCATTGACTGTAGTCTATAGATTGTATGAATGAATCACTAACTTATTCCTTGGTAAAGAGACAAATTGGCAATATATAAAACTCATTGAAACCCTTAAGAAGACTGCTAAGCCTCTGCAAATTTCCCACCTCTACTGTATTTCTCTTTTCCCTTGTTCTTCTTTTCAATGAAATTCCCCAAACAAAAACTAACTTTATGCTTTCAAACATCTTATACTAAAATTATCTCCCATTCACCTAAATCATTGGGTCAACCAAAATTATGGCTGAACAAAATCACTAAATGAACATGGAACATGTTTCCTACCTTGAAGCCCAGCAAAACCGGAGTCACCTTGGTTTCCTGATAATCCTGGCAATCCAGGAAGGCCTCTGATACCTGGTATCCCTGGAGGACCATAACTGATATCACCTGGAACACCTTTTGGACCATCAAGCCCAGTAGGACCTGGCAATCCAGGAGCACCATCTAGCCTTAAACCGGCTTCACCATTTTCTCCAGGATCACCGGTTTCACCCCTTAAACCTAAAAAATAATGACATTGAGATAATCTGGGATTATTGTCTTGTTTTATTTCAACTTCCGATTGATTGCAAACTATGTAAAATAAGTAATGCATAAAGAGCCATGCTGGATCAGATATCCTTTTCTATAGTAGCAAATCAGATAATGTGGAGTATCTCATAATGAGGCATGAAGGCAACAGCTCTCCTCCAGTGTTTACACATTGATGGAGCTTGTAGGTTCACAACTCCTGACTGACTGAACTGAATTCTATGGATTTCCAAGCACGTCAAACTCCCAGAATAATTTCACTAGAAAATGGACCAGTGAATATATTTATATCTCCCATTATTTAGTACAAATCTGAAGTGATAATTTAAACTACAGTCGTTCAAGGAGACAAGATAGTGTGGCTATGGTGCTATAATGATTTGAACACTGGACCAGGGTTTGAATCCTTGCTCAGCCATAGAAATCCACCATTCTCTCAGCCTCAGAAGAAGGTAAAGATAACCACCTCTGAACAAATTGTGCCAATAAAACCCAATGATAGGTTTACCTTAAGGTCACCATAAGTTGGAAATGACTTGAAAGCACACAACAAAGTCCAGAGTTTAGCTCAAAATATATTTGATTTAAAGAAGCCCCAGCAGAGATTTTGGTCTGCTCAGTAGTGAGCAAAATGATGTAGAAATGATTAATAGTTTTCACTAAATCACAAATGTTTTCAAAGAACATTTCTGCATTGTACTGAGATTTCTTTAAATTTAAACTTGCATTAACAGCAATTAACGTGAAGCACTTTAGCTAATTTCCAACAACTTATTTAAAGATTCAAAGTAACTACAAATTGCAAGTTTTGAAAGTTGCTTTTTAAAAGTAATGTGTCACAAAGCCTATAAAACTAATACAGTACTATTAATATTGTCAAAATACTAATTTCTTGTGTTATTCATTACATTAAAAAAATAAAAAGCAAGAAAATGATCTAAAAGGGTAAAAGTGCCTTCTTCCAACTACAAGAAAAATGTAATGAGTAAAGCTAGGCTGTTCTGTTAAAACACCTTTCCATTATTAGTCAAAAAGACCATCATTATTTTTTGTTAACTCCCAAAGTGACATGTAGATGACATCATTCATTGAGTACATTACTTTCAAGCTTGGGAAGTATGGCTTCTCCTTTTAAAATGAAACTATATATAATTGTTCCTGGGAAAGGCTCTGCATGATCAGTTTTTATAGTTTCTTGGACAATATGGTTTTGAAATCTAGAATCTGTACGGTCCAGTTTTGTCTTTTGCTGCACAGTGTGGGGAATCATTTTTATTAATGGACACATAAAGGATTTTGAAGAAACAATGTCAGTTTGAAAATGTCCATAAAGAACTGTTTTGCAAGCTCCTCAGAAAGGCTTATACTGGAAAAAAGGTAAAGGAAATAATTAATAAGGGCTTCTAAAAGCTTTTATAAACATGCAACATTATATTTACAAGTAGACCAATTTGAATTTTTATTGGCAACACTTTTTAATTACACTTACAGCTTATATGTAGCAAATGTATGGGGTTTTTTTTTTGCCAGAGATACAGCTCTTCTCTTAAGTGTAAATTAACAAAACTAGAGCATTCAGCTACACATTGAAGCTGCACTGTTTGTAGGTAGCATGAAGGAAAATGAAGAGTAGATCAAGTATTATTGCAGTGTTTGTCCTGTAAGTAAAGGTAAAGGTTTCCCTTTGACATTAAGTTTAATTGTGTCTGATTCTGGGGGGTGGTGCTCATCTCCATTTCTAAGCCAAAGAGCCAGTGTTGTCCATAGACGCCTTCAAGGTCATATGGCCAGCATGACTGCATGGAGTGCTGTTACCTTCCCGCCAAAGTGGTACCTATTGATCTGTTCACATTCATCCCACTCCCCAGATTCAAACCACCGACCTTTCGGTCAGCAAGTTCAGCAGTTCAGCTGTTTCATTCACTGCACCACTGGAAGCTCCTGTATGTCCTGTACCTTCCCACATTAGCAAATGAAATTATTTCTCTCCTACCTTCTGGGCCAGGAATGTTTGATACTCCTGGTCTACCTTGTCGACCTTTGAGCCCATCAAAACCATTAGGACCAGGACGTCCAGGTTGCCCCTTCAAACCTTTTGGACCTTAACATAAATAAAGAAGACATATTCTGTTCATTTTAATATTAAATATGTTTAAACTTCCTGTGGAACAAATTAGAATTTGACAGAGTCAGTTATGAAAAAAACATGGGTTACATACTCACACACCTGATTTTGAGCCAATTTAATCTATTTTTGTATACAATAACTCAGTCACAGAATGTAATTCACCTCTAAACTATACATTTCTGCCACTCAACTCTCAATTTTCAAATGGAGATTTGGGTCACATTATGGATTTGTACAGCATAAAATTATAGGGAAGAGGACTACTAAATCTACTCGGCACCCAAGATGAATGATATATAGCAACTTTCATTTTATCATTAAGACCAAATAATTAGACTGCGTGTAATTATTATAATGTAATACTAACTTACTCTCTTGCTATGAAAGCCATAATTTGCAAATTTCATTAAAAGATCTCTTCCAAGCCCTTTCCTAGCTATATCAAAGGAAATATTCCAGCTGATTCTCAGAGAATGTCAGTTTTAATATCTGGTTATTATTTATAATAACACTTTCTATTGTCTTTCTATTCAGTCACTGTTTCCACACCCTTAATTTCCATTTTTAATCTTAGTTACAGCAGTCTTCTTATTTCTTCATAATTTCAAGATGATGATGATGATGATCTTGAAATTATAAAGAAATACACAGACTGCCTATTATTATTATTAGTAGTAGTAGTAGTAGTAGTAGTATCCCACCACCACCTCACTGAAGGGACTCAGGGTGGCTCACAAAGGACTCTGAAGTGCTGCACATACAATAATCAACACATTGACATGATAATGACAATGACTTCTATGGAAATGACACTTTTAGTCTTGTAGCCATACCTGCACTGCCTTTAATACCAGGAGCACCCGGATTCCCTCCATTTGCCCTTGTATATGGAGGAGTGGTACCTAGAACCAAAAGAAAAGAAAAGCATTTTCATCTAGTTATCAACAGCTATTAACTCTCAATATCCAAACCACCACATTATCCGAGGTCCTATTAACCGAATGAAGATTCCTTGCAAATATGAAGTTTTATGCATTCACAAGAGCAAAAGAAAAAAAAGCTGAAATCTAATATTCACTTTTTAAGGAATACATCCTATGAACACAGTGGTAATTCTGAGTAAACAAAAATAGAATGTATCAATAGTTTATTTTTATTGAGGCACTGTAATGAAAACGTTTGCAATGTATAAGAAGTATTCAATTTAAGTCTAACATTTATGATACGTACTTAACATGTTAGGTAGCCCAACCTAGATTACCTTTTTGACCCTTAGGGCCAGGTGGTCCTCTCATACCAGGGTTTCCCGGATCCCCTGGTTGACCTTGGACACCCTGTGGGCCCTGAATCCCAAAACCTGCTGATCCCATAGGTCCCCTTGAGCCAGGAAGTCCAGGAGCACCAGGAAAGCCCTTCTCACCAGGTATAGCTCTTCCATCAGCACCCTAGCAACAATAAATATAAGTACATTGTAAACATACATTATCTCAGCAATAAGTAAATTGAACTAGATTTTAGTAAGTTTAAGAATTCATCAATACTTTGCCAGGTAGATGGTAAGTGCTAGGGAAATGTCAGGTGCATACTACTTTACTAAATTATGACAAGGATCAAGAAGAATAGTATTACAACAATTTGTTTTTGCTATCTGGCATCACATCAACTCTGATTACAGTGACCCTATGAATCCTATCTTTCTCCAAAGGTTTACGTCATAAACTGTCCTACACAGGTCTTGAAAACTCAAGGCAGTAACTTCCTTGATTCACTTATAGAGGGGGTCTCCCTTTTTTCCTACTACCTTCCACTTTATCAAGCAATATTGTCTTTTCCAGCAAGTCACATCATCTTATGTGCTCAGCATATAACAGCCTCAATTTAGCTACCTTCACTTCTAGTGAGAATTCAGGATTGATCTTCTCCAAGAACCAAGCACTTCCAAAGCACCAGCCCATGGTATCTGTAAAGCTCTTTCTGCTGACTTTTTTACAGTTCAGCTTTCAGACCCCATACATAAAAATTGGAAATATTATGGACTGCATTATTCTGGCTTTGATATTTAACAATCTTATCTAGTTCATTTATGGCTGCCTTTCCAAGTATTAATCATCTTTTGATTCTTGTTTCATAACTGAGCCATTTTAATATCTTCCTGCCCACTTTAGAGCTATGTAAATCATCTGTGGTCACTATTTTTGTCTCCTTAATATTCAGCTGGAATCCTGCATTTTCTTTTTCTTTCTTAACTTTCATAAGTAGTTGTTCCAAGTCTTTGTTATTTATTTTTACAAATATAGTGCCATTTGCATGTCTTAAATCAGTGTTTCTCAGCCTTCCTAATGCTGTGGCCCCTTAATACAGTTCCCTATGTTGTGGTGACCCCCACCCATAAAATTATTTTTGTTGCTACCTCATAACTGTAATTTTGCTACTGTTATGAATCATCTTGTGAATACCATGGCACAAATACCCGATACACCCACATTTGAATACTGGTGGGGTTAGGTTGGATTGATTTGGTCATTTGGGAATTGTAGTTGTTGGGATTTATAGTTCACCTATAATCAAAGAGTATTATGAACTCCACTGATGATGGAATTGAACCAATCTTGGCACACAGAAGAGAAAATACTGGAAGGATTTGGTGGGCATTGATCTTGAGTTTTGGTGTTGTAGTTTACCTACGTCCAGAAAGGACTGTGGACTCAAACAGTGATGGATGGACCAAACTTGGCACAAAAACTCAATATGCCCAAATGTGAACACTTGTGGAGTTTGGGGAAAATAGACCTTGACATTTGGGAACTGTAGTTACTGGAATTTACAGTTACCCTACAATCAAAGAGAAATCTGAACCCCACCAACGATATAATTGGGCAAAACTTCCCACACTGAACCCTCATGGCTTGAAGGGACTTGCTGATATGAGCCTCCCTCCAGCCTTGCATGCTCTCCCTCATCTGCACATGCACACCACGCTGCTATGCGCCAAGCATACTTGTTCTCCCCTCCCCCGCTTGGATTCTCAGCCCTCCTCTTGGCTGAGAGTCCAGCCAATCACAGTGGAGGAGGGTTTTGAGTGGGATTATTCATTGTCTATTTCCAAAAAAGAAGAGAAGGATAGCTGGAGAGATCTTCAGCCTTCTCTACCAAAGGGGTTCCATCAGATATATATGCTCTATAATGGTCTTTGGTGACTCCTTTGAAACCCCCTCACAACCTCCCCAGGGGTCCCGACCCCCAGATTGAGAAACACTGTCTTAAATTGTTGCTGTTGCTTCCTCCAGTTTTCATGATAGCGTCCTCCAAGTCTAATCCTCCTTTCCGTGTGATATATTTTGCATATAAAATTAAACAGATAGTGATAAAATGTAACCTTTTCTCACTGCCTTGCCTAGGGAAAGCCATGCTATTTCTCCATATTGTAACCTAACAGTGGCCTTTAGTCCTGACAAGCAGATAGTTGGGACAATCAGATGTTATGACACTCTGATTACAGTAATAAACTGAAGCAATTCCTAAATGGTAGTATTAGTGCAACAGTTTTGCTTACCATCAGTAAACACAAGACTTTTAAACTAGCAGTTTACTTGTTCCATTTTGGAAGACGAATTAGTTTACAATGAAGGATAAAGCAATATCAAGATTACCTTAAACCCCTTTTCACCAGACAAACCTGGTTCTCCATCACGGCCAGGAATGCCATTTTCCCCTGGAAATCCAGGTTCCCCTCGGAGGCCTCTTTGTCCTTTGATCCCTTTGAATGATGGAAAACTGACAATCAATAAAATAAATTTGAATGCTTCCTTTTTCAAGCCTGTGATTATCCAAATGTTTAAGAGTACCTTCCATTAGCCAGTTGGGCAAACTGATGAGAAAAAACAAAAGCGCATATTTCATTGCCTTCAATTTATATAAAATACATGTTTCTCATAAAAGATCTTTAACTATTAAAGATCTCTTGCAGCAGTAAATGGTGTGTGTATGTGTGTGTGTGTGTGTATGTGTGTATGTGTGTGTGTGGAGGGTATATACAGTACATAAAAGAAGCAAAAGTAATGCAAAAGATGGAATAGAACTCTGCAGAAGCAAGGGTTGTGAGATGTGAAAAATCAGCCTCTTTTGTTCCCCAAAGGGCATTAGCAAAGGAAACTCCTGCATTGTCTATGTTGATATGTGTTAACTTAGTCTATTTGGAGGGTTTGTGTGTGAAAACCTACATTATTAATCCCATAATATGGTGAGCCTGTTTTTCCACCCATCATCTTTAGATCTGATTGGGACTTGTGAACTTCATTCAGTGCTCAAACCCAACTTTTGTGACCCCTAACTTCTCCTCCAAAACCTTCTAATTTCCTTTCCCATTTTTGCCCCTGATCACATAAAATCACATGAATATATCTCCATCGCACCATCAGAAGTATCCTCCCCATATCTTTGTTTTCTTCTGAAGTTTATTGTGAAATAATGTCATAAAATAATGGGACATCACTTTCTGATGCCATTTTGAGAGGGAGTGCAGAGGAAACTTGGGCCAAATTTCAGTTGCAGAGGAAACTTGGCAATGCTTTCAGAAGTTCGCCTTCTAGGGTAGAAGATTTAGACTAGTAATTTTCAGCTCTAAGATCAGTGTACGCCATGTGAGTTGTATGAAACAGCCTATTATAAACAGTAACCATATTGTTTATATTTAACCCCTTCTCCAAAAGGGAGAAGTGCGAGTGCTGTAGTTATACAGTAAGCCCCAAATACTGTTCCTCATTGTAAGTCTCTATAAAAATTACTTCAAAATTAAAATAGTTATCACCTGCTTTTGGTTTGATTTATATCCCTCCCTCTCTTTGCTATCCTTTCTAGTGTATTATTGCATATTTTGTATACAATATTCACCTATAACTATTGATTCCCCAGTGTCTGGATCACAATCTGGCAAGCAAATTGAAGGCTAATCCCAGTTGAGATAATTTTTGTCTCTACCTTTATCATCACCTCCACTTTCCATCCTCACATCTCTGATGCTACTATCTAAAAACTCTTGCTCATGAAAGTATAGTTTTTTGTTACATTTACTCTGATGCCTTGGGTCATACTGATAAATTACAATAAAGCAGCAGTTTTGAACTTCAGATGTACAGGAATATTCAGTATGAATAGAAGCATCAAAGTCCCTACAGAAGGTATGGACTGGGGCGGAGGAGAGGGGAGGTGACATTAAGTCACACATTTACCAGTGAAATTGAGGAAATTACATTTGAACCAGAAATCACTGTCTTTTAAGGCTGTCTCCTTTCCTTCCTTCCTTCCTTCTTTTGTCTCTCCATTCCCATCCTCCTTCTTCCAAGGGGATTTTCATGTTCTCTGTGGCAACCTCTCCAACTCAAGCACAACCAAATAAAAAACCCCAAGGATACTATGGCTTGCTCTTGTGTGCCTCCAAGTCGTTTCTGACTTATGACGATCCTAAAACTATTATGGGATTTTCTTGGCAAGATTTGTTCAGAGAGAAGTTCCCTTTGCAGAGTCATAATCCACAGTCCAACTCTCAAACCACTACACCACACTAGCTCTCAATCCCTAATTTGAAAAACAATCACATAAGTATACTTATCACTTGCGTATATTGAGTGCATACTTACCCTTGATCCTTATTCTAGCTGGGTCACCCTTATCTCCTTTTTCACCATCCAGCCCTGATGTACCTGGTATTCCCTTACAGATTTAAAAATAAAGACCTAATGATTACATTCAAGCAATTCATTACTTGTCTCAATAGCAAAATTAGATGAGTGTGAAGATTTACACGTTTGGGGTCCGGCTTATCTTTGTGACCACATCTCCTCCATGAACCTGGATAGGCTCTAAGATCTGCCGGGGAGGTCCTCCTCTCAGTCCCACTACCATCTCAAGAATGGTTGGTGGGAACGAGGGAAAGGGCCTTCTCAGTGGCCCCGCAGCTTTGGAATGCCCTCCTCAGGGAAATTGGGCAAACCCCCACACTGCTTTGTCTCTGGAGGGAGCTAAAACGTGGCTCTTTAGGAAGGCTTTCTACAATTACTAGACATTAGCTAAACTAGAGGCCCAGACAAATTGATATTGACCCTGGCACTTTGATGTTATTTGTAGTTGTGACAGGGATATTAATGTGGTCATATTGCCCATTTTAATAGCAGCTATTGCTGCATTCTATTGCACATTTTCTTTAAATTTAGGTTTCAGGTTCGAATCCAAGGAGCGGCATGAGCTCCTGCTATTAGCCCCAGCTTCTGCCAACATAGAAGTTCGAAAACATGCAAATGTGAATAGATCAATAGGTACTGCTCCAGCGGGAAGGTAATGGTGCTCCATGCAGTCATGCTGGCTACATGACCTTGGAGGTGTCTACGAACAATGCTGGCTCTTCAGCTTATAAATGGAGATGAGCACCAACTCCCAGAGTTGGAGATGACTAGACTTAATGTCAGGGGAAAATCTTTACCTTTACCTTTACTTTTACCTAGATGAGCACGATGAGAAAAGAATGGCTACAAAGATACAAATCCCAGAATTTCATGTTAGAGCCGCCACAAACTAGTGTCTTGGGAGATGACGTTGAAGACTCCGCCTATTTCTCCGCGCCCGCGTGGTTTTCCCTTTGCTAGGGCAGCGATGCGAGCGTACTCTCGCTGTTGACAGAATTCAACAGCGAGAGTACGCCTGCATCGCTGCCCTAGCAAAGGGAAAACCACGCGGGCGCAGAGAAATAGGCGGAGAAAGAGGCGGAGAAAGAGGCGGAGTCTTCTACGTCATCGGTCGTGATGGCACAGTTTGCTCTCCCAAGACGCTAGTTTGTAGCGGCTCTTAGCTGCAGTGTGAATATATTTATGTGTGTGTGTGTGAAGCCTTAGATTTCATGTTTTAACAGTTTTATTGTATTTATCTGTTTTATCTGTTTTATACTTATGTGTTGCTTTGTCTTGAATATTTGTTTTGATTATGCAACATTGAATAATGCAAACTGTAAGCCACTCTGAGTCCCCTTCGGGGTGAGAGAGAGCGGGATAGAAACATAGTAAATAAATATACTCACTGAGGGGCCTGGTTGTCCTATTGCCCCAGGGGAACCTGGATCACCTTTTCTTCCACTTCTTCCAGGAAATCCCGCCTCTCCTTTTCTTCCTGGAACTCCTGGTGGACCTCGTATTCCAAGTGCACCATATGGACCTGGACCACAGGAGCAGCTTCCTGGACTTCCTACATAACCCCAAACAAAATCAGACTGAGCTATATGAAACAAGTTACTATGTGAAACAATAGCAAAGAGCATGCATGGTTAAATTGCATAATATGAGAGAAATGCACTGCTTACTCTGTTAGGGATGCATATACTTGCCTTTCTCTCCTTTTGCACCGCTTTCTCCAGGTTGCCCCCTTTGACCTTTAGTCCCTGCCTGCCCAGGAGCTCCTCTTCCACTGCAAGCCACACCTTGATATTAAAAACAAACCATTATTGTCATTTATATGTATTAACTTTTTATCTTTTCAAACGTTGTTAAAACAGCCAAAGTGGCAGACAATCCGTGAAAGTGCAGTTTCAGTCCCCTCCTCATCTTATTAGGTGATTTGGATTCATCCATCTTGTTGAATTTCTGTTTTATCTGTTTATCTGTTTTATACTTATGTGATGCTTTGTTGAGAATTTGATGAGAATTTCCGTTTTCTCATCAACCTGGGAAGAACATTACTTGTACAATTTTCCATTAAGTAGCTTATAATGTATTACTTCCGTTTTCAAATCATAGACTTTTGAAAAGGTAGGGCTAACATATTATTTTCTGTTTTAAAATGGAACCTGAAAAGTTCTAATGGATTACAAGAAGTTTTAGCAACTTTGGGTTTTGCAAGATAAAGATGTATTAAAATTTTTATTATTTTTTATTCTGTTTTAGTTTGGATACATTTTAATGGATATTTTTGCATTTATTTATTTGTGGTATTTCTTTACTGCCCTTCTTAACCCTGAAGGGGACTCAGGGTGGTTCACAGTACATTATAATTTTGCACACTGCCTGGAGTCCCAGTACTGGGTGGAAAGATGGGCTATAAATTAATCAGACATATCCAAGAAAAATGGGAATAAATATGAAATGAACCATTTATTTAGGTTTAAAGGAATATCCTACTGTCCAATGCCCATAGGTTCATTAAAAATGGTGATACTTGTATTCAAAATATTTGATATAGAGGTTACTAATGGTTTCCATGTTAGGCCCCTTCGACACTGCCATATAAAATCCAAATTATCTGCTTTGAACTGGATTATATGGTAGTGTAGACTAATATAACCCAGGTCAAAGCAGATAATCTGGATTTTCTATGGCAGTATAGAAGGGGCCTTAGTGGGTTGGTAATCTGTTTCAGGTTTTATTCAGTACATCGTTGTTAGACCTGACTGGAAGAGATACATTGGATCAGTGGGATCAACATTCAGCAACTAACTGGATCTAATGTAGTTGGGATCAACCAACAGGATGTCAGCTATTTGAACTTTGAAGTTAATTAATTGGAATTAGTCAAAATTATCCCTTTTTCACAGCAACACAGTCTGGATCTACACTGCCCTGTATCTCAGGATCAGATTCCAGATTATTTTCTTAACCCAGATTATTTGACAGTGTGGACTCATATACCTAATCTAGTTCAAAGCAGATAATCTGGGATCAGATCCTGGGACATAGGGCAATGTAGATCCAGCCACAGAATAGATACAATGAGCTGTTTAGTCAATACATATTTCATTCAAGTGCAGTGCTATAAAAGGAATGATACAAATGTTAACAATCAAGTCACCAGTGTAATGGAAATATTAACGGTTGTTTTTATGTAATTTTGCTTATCTTACCAGGTGGTCCAGGCAAGCCCTGCTTTCCTCGTACTCCAGGGAAGCCTGGAAATCCTTGAGCTCCTGGTTTTCCTGGAACTGTTTCAGATATGCCAGGGAATCCAGGGTCACCTTGAAATCCTTGTGGACCTTGTACTCCTAGTGTACCTTTGGGACCAGGGAGACCTATGAAGAGAAGGAACAGGTTATGGAACCCTGCAATGGGAACTTCAATGACCCAAGTTTCAGGGCCCTTCCACACAGCCCTATATCCCATAATATCAAGGAAGAAAATCCCACAATATCTGCTTTGAATTGGGTTATCTGAATCAACATTCAGATAATGTGGGATTTTCTGCCTTGATATGCTGGGATACAGGGCTGTGTGGAAGGGCCCTCAGAGCTGTGGTTTCCTAAACTGAATCTATCCATCTGTAATATTATTATTATTATTATTATTATTATTATTATTATTATTATTATTATCTTTATTTGTACCCCGCTAGCATCTCCCGAAGGACTCGATGCGGCTTACACAAGCCGAAGCCACAAAACACAATACAATAGAAAAATATAACACAACAATAAACAGAGCAAATCAAAACAATTAAGCAAAACGACGACAATGACTATACATCTAACATTATTAAAAACTGGTTCGGCCGGCGCAATGGGGTACAGGGGTTAAAAGTGCTGAGATGGTAGGAGGAGCGTAGGATTAAAAGTGCGGTGTGCAGCAACATTAGTTGTGCTAAAGTGCTACTAGGACTTGGGATGGGGATTCCTAATCTGAGAAGGCACAACGGAACAGCCAAGTTTTTAAATTCCTTCTGAAAACTGCTAAGGTAGGGGCCTGTCGGAGATCTTTTGGAAGGGCATTCCAAAGTCGGGGGGCCGCCACAGAGAAAGCCCTGTCCCGTGTCCCCACCAAGCGCGCTTGCGACGTAGGTGGGATCATGAGCAGGGCCTCCCCAGATGATCGGAGCGAGCGTGTGGGTTCGTAGATGGAAATGCGGTCACGCAGGTAGGGTGGTCCCAAACCGTTTAGGGCTTTGTAGGTGAGCACCTGCACCTTGAATTGGGCTCGGAAAATAAATGGCAGCCAGTGGAGCTCCTTAAACAGAGGGGTAGACCTCTCTTGATAATGAGCCCCAGTTAGCATCCTGGCTGCTGCCCGCTGGACCAATTGAAGTTTCCGAGCCGTCTTCAAGGGCAGCCCCACGTAGAGCGCGTTGCAGTAATCCATTCTAGAGGTGACCAAGGCGTGGACCACCCCGGCCAGATCAGCCTTCACGAGGTACGGTCGCAGTTGGCGCACAAGTCTCAATTGTGCAAAGGCCCTCCCGGATACCGCCGACACCTGAGCCTCAAGTGTGAGCGAAGAATCCAAGAGGACACCCAAACTGCGGACCTGTGGCTTTAGGGGGAGTGTAACCCTGTGCAACACAGGTAACCACCCTATACCCCGATCCGGTTTACGATCGACCAGGAGGACCTCTGTCTTGTCGGGATTGATCTTCAGCTTGTTCTTCCTCATCCAGATCGACACAGCGGCCAGGCACTCGTCCAGCACCCGAGAAGCCTCCTTGGAATTAGGTGGAAAGGAGTAGTAGAGTTGTGTGTCATCCGCATAAAGATGGCACCCAACTCCAAAACTCCGGATGACCTCTCCCAGCGGTTTCATGTAGATGTTGAAAAGCATGGGCGACAGAATGGAGCCTTGCGGGACCCCACAGGTCAAAGGCCAGGGGTCAGAGCAGGCGTCTCCCAGCTTCACCATCTGGGTTCGTCCCTCCAGGAAGGACCGGAGCCACGACAGAACCGCGCCCCCGAGGCCCATCCCAGAGAGACGACCCAGAAGGATACCATGATCGATGGTATCGAAAGCCGCTGAGATGTCCAAGAGAACCAGCAGAGTCACACTCCCCCTGTCCAGCTCTCTGCGGAGGTCATCCACCAAGGCGACCAAGGCTGTCTCGGTACCGTGACCAGGCCTGAAACCAGACTGTGACTGATCTAGGTAGTTGATGTCATCTAAAAAGCCCTGGAGCTGGGAGGCGACCACCCGCTCCAGCACCTTACCCAAAAAAGGGAGGTTGGAGATTGGCCTGTAGTTACTCAGCACCGTGGAGTCAAGGGAAGCTTTTTTGAGGAGTGGCCGAACCACAGCCTGTTTCAGATTGGATGGAAAAATCCCTTGCTCCAACGATGCATTGATAATCAATACAAACCAGTCAACCAACCCCTCCCTGGCTGATTTAATGAGCCAAGATGGGCATGGGTCTAGAGAGGAGGTGGTCGCCCTCACAGCCCCAAGAACCTCCTCTACGGTTTCAGGAAGAACAAGCCTAAAAGAATCCCACAAAATTGGACAAGCAGATGCCTCCGTCACCTCTTCAGGCACTGCGATGGAATTGGAGTCGAGCTCAAGGCGTATCTGAGCGACTTTACCTGCAAAATGGTGTGCGAAATCGCGACACCGAGCTGCTGGGTCATCAGTGACCTCCTCCACCACAGGTGGGTGGAGGAGTTCCCCCACGACCCGAAACAGCTCCGATGATCTATTTGCTGCAGACGCTATACGGGTGGTCGTGAATGATTTCCTGGCCACCCGTATAGCCACGGAGTATGCCTTAAGGGAGGCTTTAGCCCGTGCTCGATCAGAGACGTCTCGAGATTTCCTCCATTTGCGCTCTAGCCCCCTTCTCGTATGCTTCATCACAGCCAGCTCCTCGGTGAACCAAGGAGATGGCCTGTCACGACGCAACGAGATGGGGCGTTCGGGTGCGATCGTATCTATCGCCCTGGACATCTCCCCATTATAGAGAGTTACCAAGGCGTCGATAGAATCGCCAGGCTCCAAGGCAGGAAGAACCCCAAGATTCCTCAGGAATCCGTCCGGATCCATCAGTCTCCTAGGGCGGACCATTTTAATCTGTCCTCCACCCCTGCGGAGGTTAAGAGTCGCAGCAAGTCTAAAAGTGATCAGATAATGATCAGACCATGACACCGGAAGGATGTTTTGATCTTCCACTCTGATCATTTCGTTGTCCGCCACAAAAACAAGGTCAATATACAATTTTGATTTTCCTACAGCCTCCCAGTTTACTAAGCATTATCATCTTTTCCAGTGAATTACACTGTTATGATATGTCCAAGTGCAATAGCCTCAGTTTGAGTTTCAAACTTGAATTGATCTTTTTGGCAGTCTGATATCCACAGAACTTTCCTCTGGCATGACACTTGAAAATGCCATGATTCTCTTTCAGCTTTTTTTCTCTTCCCTTTTTTATTTTATTCTGATTAATAATTTTTTATTTGAGAAAGAAAATTACAATTTTATAAACATATACTGTACACTTCCCACTCTTTTATTTACATTCACCCCTATGCTCCTCTTCAACAGAGCCATCTTTTCTTCTAAAGTCCCACCAAAAGTTCAATTCTCCATTTGGAGGAAAATTCCCATCTTCTTTTTCCAATACTTTTTTTCTAGAAAATTTCTCCAAATACTTTCAAAGTAATTTTTTCCATAATCCCTTCTTTACTTTTAACTTTGATGTTAGCTTATCATTCAGTGCCATTTTCCAGACTTCTTTATACCATTCATTAATTTGTATTTTCATTTCTCCTTTCCAATATTTTACAATTAATACTCTAGCTGCTGTGAATAGAATGTCTATCATTTTCCCCTCTATCTTTCCTATCCTTTTTTAAATTAAAAGTAAAATTGCTACTGGATTCATTCTAATTTTTATATTCATAATATTTTCTATTTCCCTTATAAACAATTCTCATTTCCCTTATAAACAATTCTCAAAAATCTTTTACATAGTTGCAATCTCACCACATTCACTGTTCAGCTTTAACAACCATATGTATAGATCAGAAATATGATGGCTTGGATATTTTTGACTTGGAGATTCAATGGTATATATTTCCACTTGAGAACTTTAACTACAGCCTTTAGATTACTAACTGAAGTGCCATATCATGAGAGGGCGATTCCCATGCTGCAGCAGCTCCACTTGCTACCAATTTCCTTCTGGCCTAAATACAAAATGCTGTTCGTTACCTATGAAGCCCTAACTGGTTCAAGCCCAAGCTATTTGCAGAACCGCATCTCTGTTTACAAACCTGCGCAAACACTGCGATCAGCAGAGGAGGCCCTGTTCTTGGTCCCATCCTCATCTCAAGCATGGCTGGTGGGAACGAGAGAGGGGACCTTCTCCGTGATTGCTTCCCACCTCTGGAACTCCCTCCCAAAAGAATAAAAAACTTCCCCCTCTCTCCTTGGCTTTAAAAAGTTGGTAAAACTTACCTATGAACTCTTGCATATGGAGAAAAAGAAGATTAATACACCCTGACATATATCATCGTTTTGATACATTACATTCTGTGTATACTGGAATTGACCTCAGCCTATCAGTTGTTGGAAACCATCCTACCTCTTAATATGGGTCCAATTGTTTTACGTGTTTTATTTTGTGTAAATTTTTATGGTGTGATTATGTCTGCTAAGGTTGTTAGTTTGATTTTTTGGTATATTCTTATTTTGTATTAAGCTTACAGTTAGGCTGTTTTATATTGTTTGATTATTTTGTTTTTATGTAATTTGTTGATATGTTTCTTTGTTAGCACTGAATGCTTGCCATATGTGTTGGAAACCACCCTGAGTCCCCTCGGGGAGATAGGGTGGTCTATCAATAAAATTATTATTAGTATTAGTATTCCACATTCTACTCCTTATCTGTATTTATCACTAGTGGAACGCTGCTTCTCCACCAACAGAGCAATTGGGCAAAGTCTGGACTGTGGGCTGCAATGTGGACCTTGGGGATCCAAGGTGTAGTCATCCAACTTTTTTGAACCCCTGGCATGCACACACCTAATTATTTAAAATCTGGAATTTTTCTTCATTGTCATGGCTCAAAACCATTCCAAAATGTAGCATTTGCCCAACAAAACTCTAAGCAATAAGACCTCTAACAATAGCTCGAATTAAAGCTGGAAGTGGCACAACATCAAATCCAGCTGCATTGGATGTCTGGTGTTGTATAGTACAACTGATCAGGGGGATAATCCCTCCAACTTTAAGGGCATTGGTGGAAACTTGATTAGATGACCTTCCTCCACTAAATAAAATAAATGGAGATTTTTTTCTTACTGGCTCCGTCTTCCCCTTGCTTTCCTGTAACACCAGGAGGACCTATCAATCCATCTGTTCCCACATCTCCAGAAGATCCAGGGTCACCAGGATCCCCACGAATGCCTTTCATGAGATCAAGAAAAATATGCTTATTTTATTAAGAAAATAATTACATAAGATTTTCATTAAATAAACATATAGTTTCATTTTAATTAAACCTTTTATCCCAGGACGTGGTGTTCCTCGAGGTCCCGGTGGACCTGGCAGCCCATTGTCTCCTGGATCTCCCTGGAAAAATCATCAGGTTTATTGTAATGAAACAATATGATGGTGTTACATGTAGGTGAAAAGAAAACTAAGACAATAAAATGAAGTGGAAGTAATTAAAATGATCCTGCGAACTTCAAAAGACAGATTTAGTAGTGAATGATGTTGGTGGAGGTGGAGATCTCACCTGGTAGTGCAAGCTAGATCTAATTTTCTACCAGTCCTCCCCTTCTGCAAAACTCTTGCACAGTAAAACACAATTCAAATCTCAGAATTTAATATAAACATACATAAACTTAAAAGTTCTTTTTATCTGAGAGCTGACCTTATTCCCTTGAAAACCATCTGGTCCAGGAAATCCAGAAATTCCAGGTTCACCCTGAAAAAAAGTTTTAACAACTCACGTTTAGTATTATAAATGCTATTATGCAAATAAGTTACTAGAGCCTTTGTAGGTTTGAAAGTTACATGTGAGTATTAGTCCTTACTTTTCAGATACATTATCTCTTGACTGGTGAGTTTACCTAAGAATCTGAACCATCAGCTGTGAAATATTTATATATACTACCTTGGTTCCTTGAAAACCTGGAGATCCATAACCACCAGGACTCCCCTGCAGTCAAGAAAAAAAATGTTACAGTACTTACTATCATGAGATATGGATCAGGGCTACAATGAGTTGATCCTTGCTTTGCTGGCAAAGGGTATCACTACCCAATTTTGACTGAGTCCCCACCACATCTAATGACCCTCTGCCCTCATTGCATATCATTGGGAGGATCTTTTGATCTACAGTAGAAGCTTCCAAGGAGACACAGCGGGTAGGAGAAGTGTGAAGAGTATTTTCTATTACAGGATACATTTAGGAAAGACATTAAAACTGGGTTCACCAAAGGGAAATCGGTGCTGGAGAATATTTTGGAGAAAGAAAATAAAGGATTGATCTCCAAGTTATACAAATATATTCTAGAATATAACTGGGAATATATCTGAATAAAAACAATAATGATTTCCTGGGCCAGAGATTTAGGCAAAAATATAGATTTGGATAACTGGAGATACTTATGAAAAAAGATTTATATTTTCTATAGCTGGGTCCATTAGAGAAAAGATGTACAAAATGTTCTATAGAAGTTATATAATTCCTGAATAGATAAAACCCCCGCAGGGGGAATGTTGGAGATGAAAATACAGAAAGGCACCTTTTTCCATAATTGATGGACCTGTGGGGATGTGAATTTTTTTTTAAAAAAAAAGGTGATGTAAGAAACCAATAAAATGATTTCTAAAAAAAGTTAAGAAAAACCCAGAAATATGCCTATTGGGCTTGTTTCAAGAGAGAATAAGTAAAGAAGATGTAGAAATTTGCCAATATGGTTTTTTGGCAGTGAGAATTACAATAGCAAAGTCTTGGGGAAAAAAGAACTACTCATTAAGGACTGGAAAAATAAATTAGTTGAGTGTATTCAAATAGCCAAGCTTCCCAATGGCATAAAGGGAGGAAAAAGTGAAGGCTTGGCTAGAAAATGGAGACCTTAAAGTGGCAGTATAAAAAAAAACGCCGATCCTAATTATTTTAAAACCAGCAGACCTACAAGTCAAAAAGAAATATTTCAAAAAAAAAAACCTGGTCCCAAGTTGAACACAACTTTATAACTTCATAACTTAATTAGAGAATCAAAGTTGAACAACCCTAATTAGCAATTTTGTCTGGCAAATGATCAGTAGCTAGGAAAACGATTGTAATAAGGGAATCACATATTCCCTCTCTAATTAACCCTAGTCAATAATCAGCTACAATTTCATAGGCAAACTTCTAAACACTTTTCAAATGCAGTTTTACATAGAACACACTGCTGTATTTCAAATGGCAGGCAGCTAATTCATGTGAAAAAGTGAACTGTTCCACTAGATATACATAGACCATTGGGTATTCCTTAGGCAAGTTTGAAATAATAATTCTTAAAGATTATAGTAAAACATTCTTAATCAAGTTTATAAGATATTAAGTAATGCAGAAAGCAAGTTTTAGAATATTTAATTGGTAACGGGAAATGGTCTTGTGTTGTTAAATTGTTTTTCCAGTGTCCTGTAAACAATATGCAGTTGAAAAAGGTAGTTTGACATGCCCTTACCCGCATTCCAGGAAAACCAGGACTCCCCTTTTCACCCTTCTGTCCATTTCCAAGTAAGCCCTGTTTTTGTGCAAAATGTATCAGTTAAAAACCTTGAACAAAGCACTCCTCCTTATGCATTACTTGTGAGCAAAGCACTAAATATGCAGGTGAAACAATGGGGCAACACACAACTGAAGTAGTTCTCCCCTTGTAATAATAATATACTTTATATTTCAATATATCTCCCCGAAGGGACTCACAGTACAGAATACAGAATACATTTATGGCAAACATTCAGTGCCGTTATACAAATTAACAAAGACAAGCAGTACATAGACAGAGGCAAGGCTTTCCTCTTTTTATTAATTTCTGGCATCTGGAGGCTGTGCTTAACTTGGCTGTGGGGCAATGGTTTTGTTCCATTTTTCCATGCCTGAGGAGCCTGTTGTCCATGGATGCCTTGCTGGTATGTCTCCAGGGGTGCCTTTTACCTCCCCGCAAAAGCCATACCTATTTATTTACTCACATTCTGTTTTTGAACTGCTAAGTATGCAGAAGAGCTAGGGCTGACAGCAGGAGCTTACCCCAACCCACGGCTTGAACTGCCAACCTTTCAGTCGGCAAGATCATCTGTAGCTGTATCTGTAACCACCAGCTACAGAAAATCTTGCTGACCGGAAGGTTGGCAGTTTTAGGTGAGAATACCATTGAAAGCATTGGGATAACAGACCATAAGCTCTACCTGAGTGGTTCCAACCTGTGGCTCCCCAGGCGTTTTGGCCGACAACTCCCAGAAATCCCGAGTTTAACTGATCATTGGACTTTATTATAAATAGGGACAAAGTGGATGAGTTGGGTAATTATAATCAACTGATGTTTGTCTTTAAATAGAAATAGTACATATAGGAATAGTACATATACTATTATTTTATCTCAAAAAATGTAGTACACAATGGCTAATAGTTAAGAACAATATTACAAATTTGCTATAAATAGCATCTCATTCAGTTTGGCTCACAGCTATCTTTGAGTCCAATGTCATGATCATGACTGGCTCTGCACTGAACAATCACAGTTTAACACAGTTTGACACTACTTTAAACACAATGGTTCAATGCTATGGCATCCTGTGATTTTTAGTTTGGTAAAACACTCACCCTTCTTGGCAAGAAGGCTAAATACCTTGTAAAACTACAACTCTCATGATTCCATGGCGCTGAAAGGCATCAAATTGCATTACATCTCCTGTGTAGATGTACCTCATGATGTAGTTGTAAACAATGCTGCAACCCATGCTGCATTAGAAACTGTGATGGAACATAGTTAAGCCCCTTCTACATTGCCATATAAAATCCAGATTATCTACTTTGAAGTGGATTTTATGTCAGTGTAGAAGCGGTCTTAGTTTATATGTAGCTTCAAGTTGCCTGTTGACTTATGGCAATTTCTGAATTTCATAGAATTTTCTTATACAAGAAATACTCAAGGTCCTCTTAAAAGCATATCACACATTCACACACACACACTTCAGTTTACTTTAAGTCAAGAATTATTCTTTAGCATAAATGGTAAAAAAATCTGCTTTTTGTGACTTACTAAAGTTATGAGAGGAAAACAGCTCAACGCAGCTCTGAGGAATCTAGTTACAAAAACTTGTCACTTACTTTGCGGCCAGGGAGTCCTCTCGGGCCCATGGATCCAGGCATTCCTTTTACACCCTAAATATTATAACAGCTTATTTAAATCATCTTGTTTATCAGAGTTGATACATTGTTTCTTGTAGCATGTTCATTTAACAACTTAATTAGAGAATCAAAGGGAATCAATCATAATATTTTGCCTTGCAAATCTGTATTATACTGATAATTGCTTTAAAGAAGGGGGATGTCTTTAGCAAATGGATGCCGATTAAGACACTTGACATAAAAGGATGGATGTGTTTTTCTTGCTTCCCCTATAATGCTGCTATGGTACTTAACAAGTGCATGTTCTCCTGTACAGTGGATCTCCAAACCCACAGATTCTGCACCTATGGATTCAACCATCTACAACTTGAATATATTTTTCTAAAAATTCCAAGAAACAAACTTTGATTTTGCTGTTGTACACAAGGGATACCATTTTACTACATTACTGTATATAACAGAACTTGGGCATCCATGAATTTTGATGGTGATCCTGGAACCAAACCCTATTGAACCACAAGGGTCCACTGTATTCTGCAACAGCTACATCCATCTGTAGCAGGTATGGGCAAACTTCGACCCTCCGGGTGTTTTGGACTTCAGCTCCCACAATCCCTAAGAGCTGATAGACTAAAAGGAATTGTGGGAGTTGAAGTCCAAAACACCCGGAGGGCCAAAGTTTGCCCATGCTTGATCTGTAGGATTACAGAGGTGTGGGGTGACTGAAATGTGCTGGAATATACAATGACTCTGCAATGCAACATATATTAAATTAATTAAATGCATTTTAGAATTTGCATACCTTTTCTCCCTTTAACAGCTCAGAACTAGGAGGTCCTACCAATAATGGCTGCCCAGGAGATCCAGGAGGTCCAACATCACCCTAAGAATCCATGGAAAGTGTAAACAAAGAGAATGCTATTAAATTAGTTGCAAGTTTTAGGATTTTTTTCTGCTTCTGAGTAACATAATACTTCTTGAGACCATGCTGTCACTACCCACTGATTTTAAACCTCTATGGCCAGTGACTCAGCCTGGATCTATACTGTCCTATATCCAAGGATCTGATATAGTTGCTTTGAACTGTATTATGTGAGTCCACACCAGGCCTGGGCAAATTTCAGCCCTCCAGGCGTTCTGGACTTCAACTCCCAAAATTCTTAACAGTTTACCAGCAGGAGGGCCAGTAGGGCCAAAGTTTGCCCATGCCTGATCTACGGACAGATAATCTGGGATCAGATCCTGGGATACATGGAAATGTAGATCCAGTCTATCTAGGAAGTTAGTGAAGGCTTCACTTGTATTTTCCACCTCTGCCTCTGGAGGGGCTTTCCCACCCCATACCTTGGGGAATGAGAATCCTAGCACACAGATACCAAATAACCAAAAGAGCATTGTATCTCGTGATCTCTGATGCTCTTCTATGATATAATTCCAATACATATAACTGTAAACCCCAGACTTCATTAACCCTTTGATTACCTGGATGAGAGACTGTCCTCCTCAGCTATATTGTCTAGATATGATGAGAACATTCCATTATTGCACAGACTAAATGATCTACTAACTTAGCCCCCTTCTACACTGCGATATAATCAAGATTATCAAAGCAGAATCTGGATTTTATATGGCAATGTAGAAGAAGCCTTTGTCAAGTTGTCACTTTATTTCTTCATAACTGTTTCTTTATTTAATTAATATTAGCAAATAACAACTAATTGTATTTGTTTGTCTGTGTCAATACTGTATTCCCGGATGCTGCTTATTCTCTTACCGGTTCCCCTTTTTGTCCTTCTACTCCAGTACCAGGGTTTCCCTACAGAAGTAGTATTAATGAAAGGAAAAGAAAATAATTGTGAGACCTTTTAAAAAATGGGATTGATGTGATAATTATTAAAATATGGAGGTATTATTCAAACATTGGGTGAATAATCCAGCACAAAGGGGAAAAAAGCAAAATTTTAAAGCACAAAAGAATCATGGAATCAGACTTCAAAGAGACCACAAGGGCCATCTAGTTCAATCCCCTGCAACACCAGAACACACAAATAATTCCTGACCATTCAAACTCTCTTGGAATCCTCCAGAGAAGGGGACTCCACTATGCTCCATGGCAGCATATTCCACTTTCCATTAGGAGGTATTCCTATGGTTAGGTGGAATCTCTTTTCTTGCTATTTGATTCCAGTGCTCCACATCTTAGTCACTAGAGTAGCAGAAAACAAGTCTGTCCTCTTCTCAATGTGACATCCTTCAAAATATTTAAACATGGATATCATGTTCCCTCTCAGATTTTTCTCCAATTAAACATACCCAGCTGCTTTAGCCACTTCTCATTAGTCTTGATTTCTACACCTTTAACAATTTTGGTTGTTCTTTCCAGCTTGTCCAAATACTTCTTGAATTGTGGTATTCAGAATTGGACACAGGGTTATTCCAGTTAAGCAGACCAAAGCAGAATAGAGTTGAACTTTCTCAATCTATATTTCTATTAATGCAGCCTATTAATTGCGGTATTTGTATATCCCTTTTCAACCCCAAAGGGGACTCAGGGTGGTTCACAGTGTTGGCAACAATTCAATGCCATCCATAAAAAACAGTATAAAACATCAAAATTGACCCTCCCCTGATAAAATGTTAAACATTATTAAATACATCACATAAAATAACATAACATATCACACAAAGACATAGCCGTTGTCCATAAACAGTCCTGGGTCATTGCACTTCCAACTTTCACTTTAACTAAAGTAGATTCACATCAACTTTTCAAGCTGATGAATCACACTGTTGACTCATGTACAGCATACAGTCTACTAAGGGCCCTTCCACACAGCCATATAACCCAGGATATCAAATATCAAGATATTTGTGGGGTGTGTCCAGATGACCTTTTATTTTTAAAGTGATTTGGGGGGGGGGGATTGGGGAAGTGGTCTGAATTTCTCGCTGTCCTCTCAGAAGTTTCCAGGGGACACCCAGCCCCAAAAGCACAAGTCTTCCAGACTGTTGTGCAGACCACCGTCTGCCCCAACCCGGGTTTTTTTAAACCCAGGTCGGCACGACTTTACTGCTGTCTGGAAGTTTACATTGACATATATCCCAGTTCAAAGCAGATAATGTGGGATTTTATTCAGCTGTGTGGAAGGGGTCGTAGATTGGTTTCAAATGTACTGGGAGATTAGTTTTATAAATACAATAACCTGTCAGGAAAAACAATATCTCACCTGTTCACCAGCCAAACCAGGTAGACCCTGCGAGCCCTTTAAAGACAATGAAAGAACGACAAGTCAGATATAGTCAAGTACAATAATTTAGCATCTCAAAGATATAGAATAGCAAACTGCACGAATGACACATATATGTAGTAGTGATTTACTTGTGATCAGAAGAATCTGTGCAAATGTGGTTGGGGAAATTTCCTTAGGCAGTGTATTTTATTTCGAGTTCATTATTCAGAGAAATTAATGGTCTTTTTCCTTTGAGTGCAAAATAACTGGGATTATGTCAAGCTTCTGTTATACATTATATGCAATTTTGACATTAATTGGAAGACTATCCCATACCCACAACTAAATAAAAAATGCTGGCTTTAATATTATTATTTTTTTTTTGCAATGTCTCAGGAAGGCAATTCCCCTCTCTCTCCCTTGTCTCCACCTTTTATATTGGCAATTATAAAATTGACAGTACTATACCTGTACGCCTGGTTGGCCTGGGAAACCAAGTGGACCTCTTGGCCCCCTTTCTCCTCTAGGGCCCTAAGAACAGATGACACACAAACACAAAATCTGAGTTTTCAAGAGGAAATTTTGCTAGTATTTTATGTAGAAATTTCATTTAACTCATCCAGGTAATACAGAGATACCATAGTTAACAAATCCTACAACTAATGCATTTTTGGATTCTCCGCTCCCCACTTCTTCCTTGTCCTCTGCCCATTTTTTAAAAAATCAGCATTAGAAAAGATTGCATGACAACCCCTAGGTAGTAGTGTATAATATCCATGATAGTGAAAGCATCTCGTACAAAACCAAACAAAATCAAGAAGATAGAAGAGCTTACAGGCAGGCCACGGGGTCCAGCGTCTCCTCTTTCTCCCTGTAATCATATCCAAGTTGTTAGATGGAAGATATTGTCATAGCATAGTGACTTAAGTGAAAAGTTTCTAAAGTATGGTATATCAAGATTCAGAGTTATTCATAATTCATATAGGGAACATTCAAATGAAATATGCAAAATGATCGTGTAGTTATATCAATGTATCATTTTATTTCACATTGGTTGGATTCCGCAAATGCCGAACTGGGAGTAAGGTGATTGAAATAGCCGAGCCAAACTCAGAGTAAATATTTCTAAGTTTGCACTGATTAAAATATATTAATCCATGAGAGATCAAGGTAAAACAGTTTATAAATTGTGATTACAAATTATAGTGACAGACATCGACCATTTGTTGATCTGGTGCAAAATATAGACTGGTTGAATTTTTTGCATCTTCCATTCAAACGTGTGTTTATATACAAAAGGAAAAGATAACGTGTTGTCGAAAGCTTTCATAGCTGGAATCACTGGGTTGCTTGAGTTTTCTGGGCTGCATGGCCATGTTCCAGAAACCTTCTCTCCTGACATTTCACCCACATCTATGGCAGGCATCCTCAGAGGTTGTGAGGTCTTTTGGAAACTAGGCAAGTGAGGTTTCTATATCTGTGGAATGTCCAGGGTGGGAGAAAGAACTACTGTCTGCCAGAGGCAAATGTGAGTGCTGCAATTTGGCACCTTGATTAGCATTTAATGGCCTTGCAGCTTCAAAGCTTAGCTGGTTGCTGCTTGGAGGATCCTTTGTTGGGAGGTGTTTGCTGGCCCTGATTGATACTTGTCTGAAATTCCCCTGTTTTTTCCATGTTGCTCTTTATTTATTGCCCTGATTTTAGAGTTTTTTAAAATATTGGAACCCAGATTTTGTTCATGTCTATGTTTTCCTCCTTTTTTGTTGAAATTTTTCACGTGCTTGTGTATTTCAATGGCTTCTCTGTGTAGTCCGACATGGTGGTTGTTGGAGTGGTTCAGCATTTCTGTGTTCTCAAATAATATGCTTATTCAAAGATTATTTGAATAAAAGTATGTCATCACACTTACAGGAGGTCCTCTGATGAATTCAGTAATGTATATGGGATTTCCTTTTTCTCCCTTTTCCCCAGGAAATCCCTGGAAAAAAATTAAAATCAGTTAGAGAATAATTTCATGACCTTGGATTTGAAGACTGAAGCAATGATGTGCCTATATTTAACAAGAGTTTATTTATTTATTTATTTATTTATTTACAGTATTTATATTCCGCCCTTTTCACCCCACATGGGACTCAGGGTGGATTACAATGCACATATACATGGCAAACATTCAATGCCATTAGACATACAACATATATAGACAGACACAGAGGCAATTTAACATTCCAGCTTTCTGGCTTCATGAGGGTATGCTCGATTCCAGCCACAGGGGGAACTGACGCTTCACTGTCCACTTGTGACACCAATTCCTTGATGGAGTACTTCCTCATTCTTACGAACACGGCTGGTGAAAGGTTTTAGAGTGTCATAAATTAGTTAAATTAGCCTCCCCGCAAAAAGTGGTACCTAAATTTCCTACTTGACAGATACAACTGTCTTTCGGGCTGCATAGGTCAACAGCAAGCTAGACTATTAATGGTTGGGAGTGCACTGCAACCCAAGCTGGCTTCGAACTCATGACCTCTTGGTAAGTAGTGATTTAATGCAGCTGGCTACTAACTAGCTGCACCACAGCCTGGTCCTGATTGTTCTGATTATAGTTCTGATTCTAACTATATCTATATTATTTACTTATAGAATGAATCTAATTTGTAAAGACATGTTTCAAGTCTTCATGAGCCTAAAGTGGAGGAAAAGGCATGTCGGTTTACAGGATTACATACAATAAGGGCTCTTTCCATTCACAGAAAGACCAGATAGATATCTTGTGGAAAGTTTATAATAAGGGAAGAGGGTGGAGGAGCAATTTTGGTCAGTAACAAATCACAATTAGTGACATTGCTTGTAACACTGCTGTCTAGAATCACTGTTATAAACAACAAAACCCATCCCTTAATAATACCTTTATTGGCCAACCAAAAGGTGCAATGTTGTTCTATACAATGCACTGGAACTTAATCAATCTTTTTTTAAAAAAAAAAAAAAAGAAAGGAGTATGTTCGATGTATCACTATGTTTGAATACAACCTAAAAACCTGTGATACGGTCATAATAAACTTATACTCACAAATGGGCCTCTTGGTCCAATTCGCCCAGCTTCCCCAGGAAATCCTGGATCTCCCCTTGAGCCATTGCACCCATCCAAGCCAGGCTGACCTCTCAGTCCTTCTGGTCCTGGTAACCCCTAGAAAGGATCCAAAGACATGGGAAAATAAGGATAATTGTTTCATCAAATATAGTGCAACATCCTGTAGGGATATACATGTGTATAAGTGTAGTGTATTTCTCTCTGGAAATGTTGCAGAGGCTATTCTCTAGCCCTTTCAACACCCCTCAAATGCTTTTTAAAATATGTCAGAAGCAAATTGAGAATATATTGCAAATTGCTTCTGGTGTGAGAGAATTGGCCATCTGCAAGAACGTTGCCCAGCGGAACCCTGAATGTGTTACCAACCTGTGGGCTTTTCTCATATCCTCACATGGGAAGCTGGGACTGACAGACAAGAGCTCATCCCGTTTCACGGATTCGACCCTCCGACCTTCAAGTCGGCAGTCTTGCCAACACAAAGGTTTAACCCATTGTGCCACTGCGGCTCCCTTAAATGCTGATTCTGTATTACTTATATTGCCTCCTTCCACTTTCTCTTCCCCATGGAAGTGGCATTTGGAGCATCTCTTGAGGTTAGACAGGCACAAGGAAAGGGGCATTTTCAATGTAGGATCTAGGTCATGAACATCTACATTGTAAAAAACAATATATACCTGGATCAAAGGAAAACTATGACTACAGGGAGAAGTTATATGCCACTCCTGTGTGTCCTAGCTTATCCCATTCTAGATTTAAGTAGCAAAGAAATGGGGATTCACCTTCATGTTATATATGTAATGTAGTATCATTTGTGAAACTTATTTTCATGATTTTGAGCACAAAATTAACCCAATTTATTCATCCGATTCATGGTTTATAGTGTACATAGGTCACTGTTTATATATGGCTTTCCTATTTAACAAAATGTGTATTCTTTAAATATTTGTAATTACTTATATCTACTAGCTTTATCATGAACCTTGATACATGAACATATTCACAGAAAGATATCATGGGAAACATCATACTCCTCAAGAAAAGGCTAAGCATATTTTCTAAAACTCAAAGGCTGTTTATGTTTTTTTAATGTTTCTTTAAAACATGGCCAATTAGATTTGTTGGTGAGATACTTTATTTCTTCTCTAATTGTCTCAGGCTGAGTAGCAGCTGAGGAGAGTGAACCGACTCCGGTTGGCCACAGGAGAGCCAATGTGATGCAATACAACTTCGGAGAGTTTCAAATCCTAGCTCAGTCACATAAACTCACTGAGTGACCTTGGGCAAGTCACACTCTCCCAAAATCAGAGGAAGGCAAAGACAAAGTTCCCATAAACAAAACCCCATTATAACTTCATGTTAGGGTCACTGTATAATGGAAACAACTGATGAGTACAGAACAACAGCAACAACAGTGGCAAAGAGGAGATTTTCCATGGAAAACATATACACTTCCACAGTCGTAATTTGGACATGGGGTTCAATGAGCTCACATAAGAAGAAGTGGGCTTACTATATATAAAAACCATGGCCATTGGTAGTAGACTTACAGGCACACCATCTACACCTGAAAATCCTGGGACTCCAGTAGCACCCTGGAAAAAAATAAAGAAGATTAAAATATGCACTCATTTTCAAAGCAACTAACATGTAGAATTTTCCCCCAAATAGAATATTGTTCTTATACCAATGTGTTTGCAAAATGCCTTATCATATTATGACTATACAGTATTCCCTCGCTACTTCGCGGTTTGCTTTTTGCGGACTCGCTGTTTCACAGTTTTTCCTTTTTGAGGCTAATGGGCCTCAGAAAGGGAGGCTGGTGAGCAGGCTGGGCCTGAGGTGCGATGGGGAAGGGCTGCTGGTCACGAAGTGTGGCCTACTGCGTTACCGCAGCCCTGGAAGTGCCCTGGAGGTGTTTATTGGGTCGACTTGCAGCAGAGGCGGGTAAGGAAGCATGAAGGCTACACTGCGCATGCATGTGTGAATGCTTCTTATATATGCCCAACAGAAGTGGAGCGCTTTCTAAAAGTTGCTGCTCAACTAAAGTAACTGAAGGATTTTGTTTATAAGATAAAGGAAAAAGTTATGTAGTGTATAAGTGTGTGGGGAGGGTTTATAAAGACTTAAAGTAGTGTATAACTACTAAAATAATGTATAAATATTAAAATAAATATAGCATCCCTACTTCGTGGATTTTCACTTTTTGCGGGTGGTCCTCGAACATAACAGCCACAATAAGTGAGGGAACACTGAACTTGTTTTCTAAAATTGTTGGGGTCAACAGTGATGTAGCAGATTGCACATTTTACATATCTAGAATCCCTGTTTTAGTTTTCAGTGTACTAACTTAAAAGTAAATATGATAATAGGACTAGAAAGACTTTTGGCTGGGTTTCTGGAAAGCTGTTGCCAGTACATGTAGGCATTTCTAGGCTTGAAGGATAAATGACATGAATCAGTATTAGACAGCTTGAATCAATACATGAATCAGTATTAGACAGCTTGAATCAATACAACCCTAGCTGTCTAGACCAGATGACAGCAAGATCATTCACAAATGTTTGAAAAGTTATTTTTGGACTAGTACTCCCAGATTATCGTAGCCAGTATGCCTATTGATTATAGTCACCAAAGCGGGGGTTGGAACTGTAGTCTAAAAAAGTTCAAACAAAAGAAAACCACTGTACTTTATATTTTTGAGAAAATGAAGGGTTGAATGTGTGTTTTTTTCTTCTTTTTTCATAGTTCATCTGGTTGATGCCATGATGATTTAGCAGGGAGAGTTCCTACTAGTTTGCACCCTATTAACTTAGCAAGGGGAAGAAGAGGGAGCAAAATTTTGTTCTTCCCAGTCATATCATATCATAGGCCATTCCTTGTATCCGAGTATGATTGCCTTCCAAATGTAGGGTCTTGGCGGTGGGTCCGTATGTGACTGTAGAGATCTATCCTTGATTCGCATGTTCTTTTGCAGCGAGGGCATTGATTTCCAGATGGAAGGTGGTCTGGACAAGGGTTGGCTTAACACACCTTTCTCTTGACACATTTATCCCTTTCGCCCTCCATTTATGCTTCTTTGAATTCCACAGCACTGTTGGTAACAGCTGACCTCAAGTTAGAATGCTTGACGGCCAGACAGCTAGGGTTGTATTGATTCAAGCTGTCTAATACTGATTCATGTCATTTATCCTTCAAGCCTAGAAATGCCTACATGTACTGGCAACAGCTTTCCAGGATTTTTCAGAGGGAACGCTGATGGAATCGTTCCAGGAGTTGAGTGTGATGTCTATAGACAGTTCACATTTCACAGACATATAACAGGGTTGGGAGGACAATAGCTTTATAAACAAGCACCTTGGTATTCCTACAGATGTCTCAATCCTCAAACACTCTCTGCTTCATTCAGGAAAATGCTGCACTTGCAGAGCTCAGGTGGTGTTGTATTTCAGTGTCATTGCTGACTTTTGTGGAGAGATGGCTGCCAAGGTAGCGGAAATGATCAACATTTTCTAGTGTTATACCATTAAGCTGTCTTTCTGACATTGCAGAGGGATTGGCTGATGCCTGCTGATAGAGCACTTTGTTTTTCTCGATGTTCAGTGAAAGGCCAAACTTTTTTATACTTTCGTAAAGGCGTTTAGAGTGGCTTGTAGGTCTTCTTCTGAATGAGCACAGACTACATTATCATCAACATATTGGAGTCCTACAACGGATGTTGTTGTGATCTTGGTTTTGGCCTGCAGTCCACTGAAGTGAAACAGCTTGCCATTTACTATAGACTCTCAAGCTCCTCTTGAATTTTTTTTCTCATTGATAGCATTTCCTACCTTGATCACACTGATATTAATTGGCTACATATATCCCAGTTTTCATAGTTGAAATGTTAGAGGGTGTCTGACATGTATAAGGCAACACTGCAAAAAATGATTTGGAATATATGTTTACTTGAAATAGTGCAATAACAAAAAGAGATTGCATAACGCCCACACTGTACAACTTTTGTTTTTTAAAGTAAAGCCACACTATTTCAGTATGATTACGGTATTACCTACCATGTCGCCTCTTTCTCCAGCAGACCCAGGCCGACCAACATCACCTCTCTGGCCTTTTTCTCCTGGCAAACCAATTGGACCTACAGGACCCAGGGCCCCAATTGGACCTTGTGGTCCCGGCTGTCCAGGTTGTCCCTGAAAATAATAAAGAATTCAGATTGAGCTTGTGAAGGGAAGGGAAGAAAGGAAGGCTGAAAAGTTGGAGAAGGTTATAGCTATTCTTCCACATTTGAGGTTTTGACTTTTGCAGATTTGATTATTTGTAGATTTAATTTCTAGGTCCTTCAGATGACTCTATGGTCAACTTCCTCAAGCATGCTGGAGAAGCTGGAGATTTCCAGAGATAACACCTCTCTAGGCCACATTGACACTGATTTATAATGCAGTTTCATGATGCAGTTTAACTCAATTGAACTTAACTAATTGCACTGCACGACCAAGTAATGCAGTGCAATGTAGTTAAGCTGCATTAAGAAGCTGCATTATATGGCAGTATAGATAGGGCCCGGATCTTCCAATGTGATTCTATGGTCAGTTTCCAGTGGAAATTTCCAGTTTCCCTGTTGACCATAGAGGCCCCATCTACACGGCCATATAAAATCCAGTTTGTCTGCTTTGAACTGGATTATATGGCAGTGTAGACTCATGTAAGCCAGTTCAAAACTGATAATCTGGATTTTATATGGCAGTGTAGATCCTGCCTGGGACTGGCTTGAAGACTTAGATATTATTATTATTATTATCATCATCATCATCATCATCATCATCATCATTATGATGTTTATTATTACGTTTATTTATATCCCACTTTTTCTCTCCATAAGTAGACTCAAAGTGGTTCTATATTATTAGAGATGTATTCTCTCATGGTTTTTTTCACTTTCACAGGTGTCCCATGCCCCTGACCCCAGCTGTATAATCCAGATGTTAACATTCAGTTTCTACTTCTGAGATCCTACACAGTATTGAATATAGTAGATTGGGGAATGAAGTCACACATAAAACCACATGCTCAGATGTGGCAAGCATATATCTTAAACCACAATCTAAATTTTATCAATAAGAGAGCATCTATTTTAAATGTAACCACTTGAGGGCAGCAAAGAATTTCACATTCTGAAAGACATTCACCAAAAAATGTATTTACATAAATGGATTACACTTAAAATGCACAAAGCAAATATTAGTGTATCGTCCTGCTGGGATTTCTTGATCAGATTACTGCTCCCGCTGGGAAATGTGAAATCAAATCACCCCCTTCTGTGCTTTGATCTAATAATGGTTCCAAGACTAGAAGCATAGGTGCAAAACATGCACAGTCTGGCTTCGCCAAAGAATTACTATCAGTCAGAATTAGATTGAGCTTCCAGTATTTTTTTTCTGAGCAGAATATTCACTGTACTCACACAGACATTCCAAGGGCAGTTCTAACAAAAGCTCTGCTCCTTTTAAAAATTTGTTGTTGCTCCAATGATTAAAATTTACTTTTTTGTTCAGAAGTGACGTCCCATAAACACACTGGTTCAACATAATTAAAAAAATTATATGAAAACAAAAATTGTTATATTTGGGTAACTTTTTATGTTTGCGATTTGTAAGGACTATGAAGAAAGGTGAGATTGTATACTGCTATTGTTAGAGTCAACTCACAGAAACCTTTAGTCCACATGATCAGAAATGGTGGTGGCTTAGGAGTACTAGAGAGAAAAATATCTCGTCCAAGCTCTGCTTGATGACAGTATTGGGCTATGAGTGGACTTTGAATATGATAGCTCACATCTCTTCATAACTGTTGAGTTTTCTGTTTGATCTGAATAGTCTTAACCTAAACTCAGAGTTGCCATTCATCTTCTGGAACAGAGTGTTGGGTATAAACAAATAAGGGTTGTACTGGGCTGTGGTGCAGCTAGTTAGTAGCCAGCAAGATTAAATCACTACTGACCAAGAGGTCGTGAGTTTGAAGCTAGCCCAGGCGGAGTAAGTTCCCAGCCATTAATAGTCTAGCTTGCTGTTGAGCTATGCAGCCCAAAAGACAATTGCATCTGTCAAGTAGGAAATTTAGGTACCACTTTATGCGGGGAGGCTAATTTAACTAATTAACGATGCCATAAAACCTTCCAGCAGTGTGCAGAAGAATGAAGAAGTACTCTATCAAAGGACTCGGTGTCACAAGTGGACAGAGAAGTGGCAGCTCCCCCTGTGGCCGGAATTGAGCAAACCCTCATGAAGTCAGAAAAGCTGGAATGTTAAATTGCCTCTATGTCTGTCTATATATGTTGTATGTCTAATTGGCATTGACAGTTTGCCATGTATATGTGCATTGTAATTCACCCTGAGTCCCCTGTGGGGTGAAAAGGACGGAGTATAAATGCTGTAAATAAAAGAAATATATGAATAGCTAGATAAATACTACATTTTCAGTTATAATTTTCAACACATGTAATTCTTATGATGGTAAATATTTAAGTCATTCTACTACACACTGAGACAAATCAATCCATTTTATAATTTTGCTGCACAAAAGAGCCCACATCAAGGATCAGATTGCTGTCCCAAATATTTAATCAAGTGGAACATCACCTGAAATACCCTGTTGCAATTAAATAAACAAGAAACCCTTCTAAAAGCCTCTCTTTCTTGGACTGCAATTTCAAGCACACTTATTAGAGACCAGGATTCTTATAAAAGCTCAATTTCACAGGGTTTATTCATTAACTAAGAGCAAAACAGCTCTCTCGAGTGGCTTTTGAGGGATATCATGAAAGGTCTGCAATTAGCTAGTTAGCAATAATTACTGTATTTTAATACCAGAAAATGTGACACAAATCTTCTTGTTTCACTTCAGGTTCCAAAAAAACATTGAATTGAGAAAGGCACCATTTGGTATTCTGACATGATTATTCCTTTCCACCAGAAGCCAATAAAGCTGCTTTGGTCCCAGATCAGTGTCTGTCACCATTAATGGACTGGATGAGGGAAAACAAACTGAAACTTAATTCAGACAAGTGGAGGTGGTCATGTTCAGTTAAAAGGCAGATCAGGAAATAGAGATTGAGAATATGCTGGATTACACTCCATCTGAAGATGCAGGTTCGTAGCTAGTTGTGCTCTTAGGTCCAGTTCTAAGTCTGGAAACCAAGGTTTCAGCAATGGCTAGGAGTGAATTCACAGTTAAATCTTGTGTGCCAGCTGCACCCATTGCTTAAGAAGTTAACACTGGCCAGAATGACACATTACGCAGTTACATCCTGTTGGATTACAGTAATGAGCTCTACATGGAGCTGTCTTTGAAGAGTATTTAGAAACTTCAGCTGGTCCAAAGAGCTGCAGCCAGATTGCTAACTGAGGTTGGCTACTGAGAACGCTACAACAGCTTAACTGCCTATCAGTTCATTTCCAGACACAATTCAAAGTTAGGTTTTGACTTATAATACTCTACACAGTTCAGGTTCAGGTTTCTTGAAGGATATTTTCCCTTACAAATCAGGCCATTGTTTGAGATCTGCTGTAGAGACTCTGTTTTACCATATAAACACATCTGATGGGAACATGTGAGAAGGTGTTTTCAGTAGTTTCCCCAGTCTCTGGATCCTCCTTCCCAAGAAATTAGACTGGCACCCTCCCTACTTATTTTTCGCAGACAAAACTTTTCTGTTTAGACACACATTCCATGACTGACGATAAAAGACATATTCCACCAAAATTGGAACTGGAACTTGCTAATTTTTATGCTAATATGTGTGTTCATGTTTTGTGATATATGATGCAATCTGCTTTTGATTTTTTGATTGTTTACTCTCATTTTCCAGTGAGTTTTTAATTGTTATTATTTATTTACTTCGAGCATTTATATTCCATCCGTCTCACCTCTGAAGAGGGACTCAGGGTGGCTTACAACAGGCAATCATTTGATGCTAACATAATACATTGAAAAACACAGTTAAAATTAGCAACAATTAAAACAATTATAAGCGATTCAATTTAAAAACAGTTTGCCAGTTCAAAATCACAGTCCAGGTCCATCCATTGTGGTCACTTAAAACATTCCCTTCCCGGTTATTCCATCTATTGTTCAAATGCTTGATCCCAGAGCCAGGTTTTGAGTTTTTATGAAAGGTCAGTAGGGAGGGGGCAGACCTAACTTCATTGAGAAGGGAGTTCCAGAGCCAAGGAGCCACCACAGAGAAGACCCTGTCTCTCATCTCCACCAGTTGCACCTGTGAAGGTGGTGGGACTGAAAGCAGGGCCTCCCCAGATGATCTTACCATCCTTGATGGTTTGTAGAGGGAGATACATTCAAACAGGTAAACTGGGCTGGGACCGTTTAAGGCTTTATAGACTAAAGCCAGCACTTTGAATTGTGCTTGGGAGCAGGTGAGGAGGGGTGTACACTCCCTGTACCCCACTCCATTAAGCAACCTAGCTGCCATTTGTTGGTCTAACTGTAGTTTCTGAGCAGTCTTCAAAGGCAACCTCACATAGAGTGCATTGCGGTAATCAATTCAGGATGTAACAAGAGTGTGGACCACTGTGGCAAAGTCACACTTTTCAAAATACTGGTGCATCTGGTGCACAAGTTTTAATTGTGCAAAAGCTCCCCTGGCTACCACTGAGACCTGGGGTTCAGGCTCAGCGATGCCTCTTTTAGTGTTGAACTGGGAAAAGAGTAGGATAGGGAGGAGGAGGAGGGGGAAGAGACAATGTATAAACTTTGCATGCATACACATTCAACTGAGAGATGTTAAGGGTCAAGATGTAAACAGAGTTAATCTGCCCTTTGAACATTACATATGAATTACAGATAAAAGAAATGGTGAGAAAATTCTTTTTTTAACCATACCGACCTTGGTTAATTTTTTATTAGGGCTGCTAAGCACTGGCCATAATAGCGCTCCATGGCTTTAGCAGTACTTAGCATGGATATCACAGCTCTCCAGGCTATAATAAGGGCTTAGAAGGGTGTCAGAAGCCAGGTTCAGCCCAGGAGTTGCCAGTTGCCCATCCGTAATTTAGATTGTCACCAGAAAAGGGAGAAGTAACAGAACACACTAACTAAATCCAGAATTCACAATGAGTTTGACAGCTGACTGATTCAACTTAGGCACACCATGCAAAGCCAGGGCATTGCTGGTCTT